TGAACGCCTAACAAGGTTGAAGAAAATGATTGTGCGCGTTGGGGTCGTTATTTGATGTTACCCTGATTTCAAACTACATAGATAAACGGAAAAAAGAAGGTATTATTGAAAGATAAGGATTCTTTATTCTTTCTTACGGAGGTAGTAAGATGACTATCGATCGCAAAAATAAAAGCTAAAATTTAAAAAAAACTAAAAAAAAACAAAACAAAATGATGAATGACGATGGAAAAAATCATAGGACTCATAAAAAGGTTACTTTGCTGTTTTTAAGCTTTTTCGAAATTGAAGAATAAGGAAGATTTCACATGATGGATGGTAATTCGTCTGTTTGACCCCCCTCATCCTTAAATTGGCATTTAAATATTAATTTAGGAAGTTTATTATTACAGTTAAATTAAAAGTAAAATCCCAGAAATTGAATTTACACCCGTGTTGAAGCTTTGACTGTTATCAAGTTTTTGGCGTTGAAAAGCACCAAGCCTGTTTGCCAACACTAAGAAATGCTCAAATAAGCAAAGCTCCTTTATTAAATATGAAAATTTCGTTTCAAACTTTAATTGTCTTTGGGGTACACAATGTAGACGGTGTAGTTCCAATATGTCCTTTATTCCTCTGTTTTAAGCTGGCAGTCGCTGATTTACAATTGTTATCATGGACTCAAATGCGAGAATTAAAAATTAAAAGAACGTTTCCCGAGATAAACAATCAAAATTTTGTGGTCTCTGCGGGACAGCTTAAATTTTTAACAGAAATGAGCCGCGCAAGAAACCAGAGATTATTTCGAAATTACCCGAAAAAGTTATCAGTTGGTAAAGCATGTTATAGCACATATAGAAACACAGGCTAACGGAGCGATGAAAATGACAAAAGAGAGGAAAAAAAAACGATTGAGGAACTCAACCACACCCGACATCATCAAATTTTTAAAACGTTTTCGAGTCTTTATCAAATGTTGACTGTAAAAAATGGTGGAAAAATGCAAGGCACCTCCATTGATAGTCAATGCGCTCAAGGTGCGGATATTCAAAAATAGCTTGTTATGACAAAGGCTGCCCACTCGCCTGAGTGCCAGTTGTTAATGAAATTGAAAGGTCGACGATGGTTAGTAAAAGATTTAGTCGTGGAGGACTATATTTGATCAGTGAGAGTAGTTTGGTGATGAACATGAACCCTTTTTCCAATTTTTTGTTCCGGGAAAGGATTTCGAGACATCTGTCTGCCAAGTTTCCTTGCGTGCGGGTCGTTTAGTGTATGCTAAGTACGTTTTGATTTAAGATTTAAAACGTTTCTTTTAAGTTTTCAAAATACTTCCGATGTACATAAATTTCCTCTCTTGTCTAAGATGATATTATCAGCCTCACATAGCACGTAGTCGTTTTTTTCGGATACTGTTGCCTTTTTAGACAGCTTTGATGTTTGGGTACAAGTTGTGCGATTAACTGAATCGCCATTTCATTCAGTGGCAAGGAACACTTATAAAGGGTTGATCATTTGACTTTGCTTCGATAACTCGGAATATTTACTTTATAAGGGGTCTTGAGTTGAGCACCGAGATTCACTCCGTTAGACAACTTTGAACACTCCTTAGCGGTGTGACTAAACGTGGGCTTTTATCCATCCATTACACACTATCTTCTTCACAAAGAAGAGTGTTATCCTTTCGTCACCTTGCACATGAAAGGCGATTAAAGAAATCATTATACCTTGGAAAGTTTGTCGGATCTCGAGGGCTAATATGCAAGTTTTAATTTCGCTTATTTTGGAAGCTTCCTTGAGCATTGATTACCCATTTCCCTCAGGGCACAAATCTTTCACTAAGCACTACAAAGTGACCCTTAGCAATTACGAATATATTTGAATTTACTTTGCACCGCGAACCATAATAAGCAATCACTGATTACCACAAACCTAAACAAAGGAAAAATAAAATTTGTTGATGACCGTTAAGATAGGAAACGAGAACCGCTGGAGTTGCCGGCTAATGAGCAAGATCTTTGTAATTTACATTCCTGGCTGCGAAGCGCCTACTGTGCTCCTCTCATGCACCTCTTGAACTATACAAAAACAGCTAGCCCGATCGTTTAATGGTTCGCGGAGAAAAAGAAAGCAAGTTTAATGGGTTTCCTCCGGTGCCTTAAACATTGATCACAAATATTTTGTACTATATGTTCTCCGCATGTTGTCTACCTAGGGAACCGCACACAAGCCCCCGAAACGGACAGACCCCAAACAAAAACTCACCACATCTCCGGGGCTACACTCTTGCCTGCACCTCTTAGACAGCAAATAAATCAGTTCATGGTTGGCCTGCATGGTTCGACCCAAGGTCTTTAGCTTAAGTTTCTATAGAAGGCACCTGGGTGATGGAAACTTTTCCCAAACCAGTGGCCTACTTGGAGGACGAAGAAACTTCACATGGGATAAGCTCTTTGAAGGCAATTTAATACTTTAATAATTGATCATATATTGTTCGCGGGCGATTTGTTTGCCATTAGGCTTATTTTTTGCAGCACGTGTATTCCGAAACAAAGTGTTGGTGGCCTTTCTGGCGCGTGCCTGCCTGAAAAGACTTAATAAACTTATCACGCTCTCTTATTGTGGAGCTCTATGGCTGTACCGCTTAATTTGCAACCGGGGCTGCTTACTTCAAAGGCATATAACTCCGCAGTCATTAAACTTTCAAAGGACACCCAATCTAGATAAATTACACATTAGCTCAGCTAGAGTGTTCACTTGCATGTGTTTCTTCTTCCTTCCTAGTTTACCTCGAAAATTTTAATTTGCTATTCTGAGTATTAGCTGCAAATTGGGTGTTTTCCGGTGATTATAGTATTAAAGAAAAAATTAAAAGTGAAATCCCCCGCTTTTACTGTTTGGGCTTTGAAACGGAAAGGAAATGATGCATGTTTTTGGTTACGTGTTGCTCTGTGACGGCTAATATCTATTATCTTGGCACAAACTTCAGAGTGAGTAATTTCCTTGAGCCAACGTTCTATACAAAACTGTCATAATAACTTCTTTTTTTTCTCCCACGGGGGAATTAAAATTAACCACAGAGTATTTTGATGCATTGCTGAGTCAGAACGCTTTTCTTTTGCCTGAATAAACAGTGGATCATGCACCAAACAAACTTTGAAAAAACTGGTCACTATTTATTGATCTTTGGAATAAAGTCTAGCTGTTTTTAACCCCTTAAGTTATTTTTCTGTTTCATTTACCTAAATTCATTATTAATGAGGCCCGCATATTTACTCTTAGTAATGAAAGAGAAGAAAGTTATACCATTTAAGAGATAGTTTAAATAAAAGAGTAGTTATTATAAAGAGCGAAATGTACCTTATTTTTAGTTTTAGAAGTCCATTACCAAGGCAAGCGCCCTGATTGCACGAAAAATAATGAGTTTTCCGAAGTAATGAACCCACCGCTATTCTGATGCAAATGTAATTTCCTTCACCTCTATTTAAGTGTCGAAAAATTTCCGCACCATTTTATCCACTTTTTTAAACCAAGTACAATGATAAAATGTTTTCTTTAATTCAATTTGCGTTATCATTTCAAAGAAACGAGAACCTTCTTTAAAGCTCATAAACAAAGTGAAGAAGGTTGAAGTAATTTCCGCGCTCGGTAAAAAAAGAAAAAAAAACGCTTAAAATGGCACACACCCAGGCATAAGTAACACGACAGCTAAACGGTTTGCACATTAAGCGATCGCGCCGGTGATCCAACATCAGTTTGTTTTCTTTAGTTTCAACACAGTGTGCAGCAATCTCGTCGATCATGTCTAGATTAAGACAAGGCCTTCTGATTATAAAAGAAAGGTTGCGATTTCGAGCAAATATGTTTAAGCACCTTTGTTCTAGACACGCGCCTGCCACGCGTCTATCAGCAGGTGCCGAAAGAATGCCCCGCCTTTGCGAAAACCCAGATTTGATCCTAGATGTGTTCGTTTCCTACTCGATGGACGTGACGCGAAGCCCCAGCGAATTTCACTGTCGCGATTGAGGCGCGCCGTGCCGAACGCTAGAATTGACGTCTCGCAGAGTACATCAACAGTTAACTAGATAACATACTAATGTGAAACCAAATTCGAAACCTGAAAAATAACACGTATTTGTTTTTTTATTACCATTTACTGCATGCTCTCTTAATAAAGAGTTGGTGGTCCTAATAGGGTTCGTTTCTATTGGAAAATGTTAGAATACTACTAATTAAATAAACCTATCTAATCACTGTTGATTGATTTGGGCGCTAACTTCTTTGTGTTCATTAATTCGTAATTGGGACCGAGCGTGTTTACATCTTACTATTCCTGCAATGTTAATTCGGGGAATCTTTATCTAAAGGAGTAAAATTAGTGAAATCTGCCTTCGGGTTGCGGCATCAACTAGTCAATGAAAAAAATGATAATATTCCTAAAAGCACCACGCATGAAACAATTGATTTTTGCAGGAGAACCGTTTTACAATTCTTTAGCATTAATAGATCAGAACAGTAGGTTGGGTGTTTAAAATTAAGTGTTATGGAGAAATCACGTTTTGAGATTTTGCTTACATTGAACGAACCCTTAAACCCTGCGCAAAACCTGGAGGCCAATCGATTCAAATTTGATACAAACCCAAAACATACACCTGTGTCATTGATTTATTATTTGAAACTAAATTTCCTTCTTTTCCCATCTCTAGATTTGACCATCCGGATGTCGGGTGAAGAAGAAAATGAAGATTTAATCTCTGCTAATTCTGCACTTTGCTACACAACTCACTGTCGCGGCGCCCATTAATCAAAATCTCTCGTTCCTGTTTCCTCAAACTACAAACCTTTTCCCCCAATTTTTGTCGAAAGTGCATTAAAAACTCATAGGAAATGCAAGTCGTCCGTCTGTTCTCGATACCCTGTTGATCAGCCGCTAAAGTCTCCGTAAGGGGCAACATGGTGCGCATGCCTGACAGCTAACTAAGGCAGGTGCTCTTTGCCCTGGCAGCTCATTATAAGCGCGAGTAGCACAGCGCTCAATGAGGTGTGAAGGGCATGATGAAAAATATTTGATTTATTACAAAGACTTATTTAGTTTTGCTTAGCCATTGTTCACATCTTGATCATTGTCAACGGCAAACATAAGCCAGCATATAAAGCCCTGACGTTTATTAAAATCCCATAAACCGAAAGTAAGTGAATACGTAAAGATTGAAAATCGCCACTGACAAGTCGGCGGTGAGGATACGTGCCGAGATGTCCGTTTGGGTCGCGCCGCCACTCTTGGAAAAACCAAGCAGTCCCCTAAATATAAGTCAGGAGGTCTTAAGAAGCGTTCTGTACGGCAAGTGGTGCAACGTATTTGGTGGCCAAAAAGAACTTACCTTTAAATCCGGCGTTTTGGATAAAATGGACTACAACTCTGATGAAGGTAAATTTTAATTTTCCCTTATTACAATGAATGATATTCAGTTTAAAAACAAAGTATGCATTGGGAAACACGGCGAAGATTAAACTACCTCGCGTGCTTTCAGGCACTCCAGAGTTTTGAGCAATAAGAAATTATGTAATTACTCGCTTTTAAGCGCTGTGTTTAGTTACAGGAATTTAACATTGTCGTTTTATTTCCCGTGTTTCATTGCTTAGGAAAAAAAACGGTCAAAGGGATTGTGAAGTGTTTCGTGTTACGTATTCTTTTGGAATTTAACTAAGGAATGCCATTAAATTTTAACGACTTAGGGAAGTTTATAGTCTCTGGTTTATTTTAATGAGCAGAATTTGGGTTTATTAAACGCAGATCTTTTTTTGTCCATTCTCTCGTAAAGAATTACTCAAGTAACATGTTTCGCTGACTATTTCGCTTTCAATAGTCTTAGAAACTCGAAGATTTCGAATTACTGAAAATACCGTGCGGTAAATTGCAAAATCGCGTGAGGTTTCTTTCGCTTTTAGATTTTTGTCGGTTAAGGAAAACATTGCTACCAACCGCGGGGAATTGAAAATTTTGATTTATCGTATTATTCTGCCGTGTAACTCGTACTTGCTCTCAAGGTCCATAACGAGCGTCTGTACAGGTAGTTTGAGGAATAACACTAGAGTCTTCAGATTCGCGCGCTTGATCTCATCCTCAACTTCGTCAGTTTTACTTAATGTTTTCAAAACGCCCTCTGCAGTTTCCGGCTGTCTAGTGAAACGGTCATTAAGGTATGATCTACCAGCAAACAAAATTTCAGAAATGGAGGCAAAAGCGCTTCCTTCTTTCAATTGTAATTTTTGGACGATAATAAGGTTTAAATACCCAATTTGCTTTAGGCAGGTGGATTCGCTTAAAATGAATATGTATGCGAACTCGGAAATTTAACTAAAAGCACTTAATTCGTACCAGTTTTGTAAACGTGTAGTTTTCGCAGACTTTTAAGCTCTTTGTGCAAAGTTCATTCCTTATCTCTTGATGTTTTTCAGGAGATCGCAATGAGGTCAGATATCTATGGTAATATTTTCTCTCAATTCTCCCTCGGGAAGTGATTGTAGGCGCCTTAAAAAAAAAAATGTACTCTCATTGAAATCCTTGAGTGCGACGTGACGGAAACTATAATAGAATATAAGGGAGGAAAAGAAATATGTTTAATCTAGTCTAATTTCGAATTTGCTTTTCGAGAGAAATTAACATGTTTGGACATTTTTTATCATATAATTAATGTCTTCTAGTTAGCATTAGAGAAAGATTAGCATATCAAAGAACAGTAACATGATGGAGTAACAATACAACCAGGACAGTCAAACTCAAACTGAAATCAATGAATACGGGCAAGTGCGTTTTCTACAACAACTCGAAAAGCGGAGGCCACGTGACTCGTAGGCATCATCATCCTCGCCCACATTACAAACATCGCGGCTTTTTTGTGAAATTAAAAAATGTAACCAAGCTTTGAAATAAAGTCGGTGAACTGGCTTGTTGTCATAAAACAAGCTTCCGTGGTCTGTTAATTCAAATGCGTGTGCCGTATTGTTCGACACTCTTTACTTTTACATTGTTTATGAAATTTTACCAATACCCAAATAAAAAGCTATTATGGGAGAAGTGTTCAGTAATGAAAATTCGCGAAGCATATATCCTTCCGAGTCATATCTACACTTCCGCAATCAAGTCCAAATTTACTTCTCTGGTTTGTGTTTCACACTGTGTGTTCCATCAATGGCGATTGTTTGTGACTGATAAGGCCCCTGTAGCATAACAATTCGTTAGAGATTAATGCGACGCATAAACCCTCCTTTTTTACCTGCTTATCACAGTGTATTTAGCACGTTCCTTGGGTTTACTTTAATTCAAGATCATAAAGATTAGTAGAGATCGCAAAGCAGGTGCTACAAGCGAAGGTCGCATGAATAAACCTCATCACAACTAAATTCATTACTGGAAGAGAATAAAACCGAACTCGTTTCGCTGTAATTTTTGGCACGTTATCCTTTTAAGAATGTTTCACTCATTTTATCGATGTTTTTCTGACCTAGTTTTACAAACCTGCCTTTCAGATTTTTTTCCCAGCGGTGGAATAAAACGTTATAAATAATTGATTGTAAACGACTTCTGTTTGTCGCGATTGAAAACTACAGGAGAGAATAGCGTTTGGGCTTTCATCCGCTCGGGAAATTGATGCTTTTCAATTCTTTTCTTTTTATGTCGTTTTTAAACAAATTCTTCAAATTTGTAAAATTTTAACCAACTTTCCGCTGGGAATTTACTAAATCTTTTGACTTCCAACAGATATGATTCTTCCACATTTTACTCATTTAGTTAGAAAACTAGGTGTCTAGACTGCAATCCAGTTATCTCAACTGCAAAAATCAATTGTACATAGTGCAGAGAAAAGCCGCTAGAACTGATAACTGAATTTTTTTTTCCTCGCGGTGATTTTTTTCGTTCTTTTTATTTCCAAGATCCTGACGCTGGGTACATGAGCAGCATTAAACGTGTAGGATCTACAGCTTTAGTCCCGGTTCTAAGCAACGACAACGCCAAAACTAAACAACTTTGTGTGGAGAACGACTCTTACTATATGGCATTTGTGTCTCTTCCGGAGCAAGTCACTATTGCGCCATCCTCAATTCCGGGTGTTCAACTTGGTGTGTTTAGTACCTGCTGGATCAAAGAGGGCACACAGATGGGACCCTATACAGGCCGTATTGTCAAAGTCGAAGAGCTGAGCTCTGATGTTGATAATAGTCTCATGTGGGAGGTGAGTGGCTTATTCGACATTGGTAAATAACGTTATGATGCTCGAGTGTTATCGTGTTTGAAATTGCGTTATGATGCGGGTTCAACGTTATCGTGTTCAAAATCTGAGCGCACTGTGAGATATTTAGCCTTAGAACCTCGGGCATCCGATAATAAAGTCCTTGAAATAAGTCAAGGCATAGCTGTGTTTTTACTTCTATTCAGTTTTAAATTTTCCCTTGATCAAAATCCTCACTATTTATGATTGGCGAATTCAAAATATTAAACACCTTTATGAAAATAAAATGCTAATTTTTGTTTTTAAGTTCTCACTGATCACTTAGATTAACATGTTTCGGCGCAATGTAAAATTTCTAATGTCGTGTTCTTTATTGATTCAGTGAATATTAAAGAGTTTCTCTGTCCCCATTTTTACAAAGAGCATTTCATGTGATTCAAACTGATGCTGTATGTTAGCCTGAGGTTTAAAACTATATTGTGTCATTCAAGTAAGCCCGAGGAAAAATCGTTTAAGATAAGGTTAAAAACACCATTACAATTGTGCAGAGTGTTAGCATAGAGTGCAAAAACCATAAAGAAATGAAAAAACAAACACTTTTCGGTTGTTTTCTTCTTTTGAGACATGCCCACCGCGGCATGGAAAATTTTCAACATTAGACTGTCGTATTCGAAATAAACGAATTTAACTCCGAAAGCGATAAATTCCGAAATTTTATTTGGTAATCTATCCGTGATTTGGTCTTTGTTTGTACAGTACACAAGTCACTCGAGAGCCTCTTTGAATTAAGAACAAACCCGAACTCTCAATAAATATATTTGCGTTCCCAAAGTCGACCAAATTTCTCGCATTCATTGTTTGTTTTTTCCAAGATCTAAGAGTAAAGAATGAATGAATTGAAATGCCCTTTACTCAGTGAAGAATCATTTGGAAAACGTTTTGAATATTCTGACCATACAAAGTCGATGAAACTTATTTCTTCTTTGAACATATCGCTTTTAAAAATACCAACCTAAGTGAATGGTGTTGTTTGAAATCTGCTTCAAAACAGGTTCTTAATGAAGACGGAACGGTTAGTCACTTTCTCGACGCGAAAGACGAAAATCCGCGTAATTGGATGGGCTTTGTGAACTGCGCTAGGAACGAACAAGAACAGAACTTAGACGTATTTCAATACGGTGGTAATATTTATTACCGCGCGGTCAAAGACATCCCTCCAGATCAGGAACTGCTGGTTTGGTATGGCGGCACTTACGTTCAATTCCTCGGGATCCCGGGAATTGCGCCGGTGAACGACTTCGTGCGAAGAAAAAGGAGAGGACCTGAGGAAGAAGAAGAAGAACCAGAGCCTTCTCAGCTACACGGTTAGTACTGAGTCTGGAATTAACTCTTGCTCGCGTAAACTTAGCACTGAGCAGCTTATAACATGATATTGCTTGTCGAGCAGAAACCACGACATCTCACGCAAATTTGAAATGTGAGTTGCACTTGTAAGAAAAGATTCAAAAGTACATTGTCTCTTTATTGTGCCGCATCGGAAATCAGTTCGACCAAGGTGATGTACAGCCTACATTACACACACTAACACACAGTGTTTTGCTTCAAGACTTGAAAATAATACCTCGACCTTCTTCTTTGAAATTTGTAGTATTCTGATTGAAAATCATGCTTCCTGTTTTACCCTCTTCTCCTTCACCAAAAATCAACAGTTTAAGTTACTCAAAGTTTTCATATGTACACCGTGTCTCAAAAGTGTTTGCATTTCGCCGACTTGTACCTTCGTTGCAAAATACTCCAGTGTTCGAAAAAGAAAAAGAAAAAAAAGACTTTCGTTTCAATTCCCAATGCGCATAGGAGTTGTTGTCAACACCTGCAAAAGTGCTTTATAAAATGGAATAAAAATGTAAGTTTTAATATTTTTAGCCGCGATGAATTTGTTAAATTTACAAGCCGACTTAACAAAATACAGGAACTGCACAAACAAATCTTCTTATTTTTTCATTTTTTTCAAATACTTCTATGAAAAGGCTTTAAAAAAATTATATTTACTGCCAGCAATAAATGTTTTGATTCCAAAATTTTTTGTCGAGGAATACTTTGAATATTTACGGGGTATAATAACATAAAGTAAATCATGATGTATGTATGTTTATACTGGCAGTAAAAAACCTTGCTGTGCCATCGAGTTTGTTATTTTTTTCACCGGAACTGAATTCAATTCTTCATCACGGTTTTGTGCAAGTTTATTATCTACATTAGTATACTGTTGTTATTGAGATGTTTCGTTGGAGTGTTGTGTGTTTCCACTGCTAACGACGCTGAGAATTACATTTGTGACAAGCAAAGAAGAGAATTCATAACATCTCGTGTTCAGTCGTCGCATCGATCTGCTAATCCCTTTTAAACCTAGAAATATGCGACTAAAACAAACTGCGCTCGGATTTAACAGCTATCTTTTATACTCAAGGAAAGGAGTGAGTGTTGTGAAATTTGCATTTCCAAACGTGTGGATCCGGAGTTAATCAATCCAATAAATATTAAAACAGGGTGGTGGGTGATAAAACTTCGGCTCAGTGTTTGGTATTCAGCCTTTCTTAAGACAGATATTATCATTTACAAATTACGAAGCAAGGTCGTTGGCGCCCGGCGCTTTTTATAATGAGCCTATCTATGGGGTGTAGCTATTTTGGAGACGTTCAATTAAAAGAAAACCGGCTAGGCTGAGGCGTCAGGAGAGAACAATGCTAAAACTTGTTTAAGTCTGTCGAAGGAATCCACAGGAAAAGTGGAATTAATTTTAAAAAAAGGGTTCGATTATCTTTTATAAATTTCGATGTTTACCAGCAAATTGCGCGTTCCCTTTTCCGCTTAATCATTGCCTTAGATGGCTTAGTACCCACAAAACTGATTACTGGTCGAGATAAATATAGTAATTATTCGGGAGTTAAGTCTCGAGCTAACATCATCTCCTTGATGCTCTCTGATGTACATCTAATGGAAAAGTGCAAATTACAGCTTCATAACCCCCACTTGTGCCCTTCCAACTGCGCATATTTTCCTTCCGGAAACAAAATTTCGAAACTTCTATCTTGTAAACATTACTGCGGGAAACTCAGTTGTTATTACTGATTTATTTTTCCCGATGTAGCCCAAAGCGATTTTTAAAACTCGAAAATTGGGTCTACCCACTGATTCAGAGTACACGCCACCATTAGACAGAAAAATTTTCTTTACCCCGATAGCCAAAGTAAATTTGCTCATGCAGTTTATTTTAAAGAGAATCGAAAATAGATTGTATTACTGCTGATCTGGGAGTGAAAACAGTATGCTGAAATTGAGACAGCTGGATTTCGATTAATTTAGCAGGCTTTCAAGAAAAATCAATTAGGACGCTTGGGTATAAAATTAATAATGGATTAACTGTAATGATTTGTAAACGGTTCCAATTCGGCATGTTTAAAAGTGTTCAATTAAAGGGAAGTTTATTTAAACGAAGTGGTTTAATAAAAAGAGCTTTAGCAAACAGAAAGGAGGGGCATATATAGTATTAAAAAAAGACCTTTCGCCTGGTCGTCGCCTGAGTTTGTAGATTTTTTTATGAAGTGTTTTACTTTTCTAATAAAGTTCACCGTATTTTATCGATTGCTGCAAAACTTAAAACACACAGACAGATTTTTTAAGGACGAAAGGTAAAACAGCGAATCGTAAACACTGACAAGCAATGTTAATTACGCTTCGTTCGAGCCAACGTTTTCTTTTCTCTTTTCTTGTCTCTGGCGCTAATGAAAGAGGAACAGGTGATTTTGGTGATATCTGTAAATCGGTTCCTTTGTATTCTGATAACATCACACTAGTTTTGTTGAAATTCTATCTCGCTTGAATGGCTTACTACTCGAAAAAAACTGAAGGTGATGGAAAGGGCATTGTGAAGCCAATATTTCATTTTTTTACCCTTGAGCAATTTGCGTTTTTTTCTTTTTTATTCACCATTGTGGAACTGCGCATTCATTTTAGTTCCCTCGTTTACTGTAACAAATCACGCAAAATGCGTCAAGATTTAGTAAATCGGGTCCTTTTTTAATTTCTCGGGGTGTTTTTCTGTTTAATCTAGTTTTAATTTAGTCAGTATTTTGCGAAAACTTTAAAGTACACCAACAATGGCACAATGCGCTCGGCAACTTTTACTTATTTCATTTAACGCAAGATTTAGCGGCACTCACTTAGGAGTGTGTCTGCTGATTATTATTTCTTGCTGCGTAGATGTGATTTCTAATTACATCAGCATTTCTTGAGTTTCGAAATAAATGTGGTGGGTCGGAACCACAGGTAATTAGGAGTTTTAAATTGGTTTTATTGGGTTCGTCACCTGGTTTTGAAAACAGCTTTATTTTTTCTCTTTTATTTCTTCTCCCATAATTGTAAAGAAGCGTTTATGATGAATGCACGTATCACATATCATGAATCAACAATGTCATTTTTTTCCACGCTGAGGCTTTTGCGTTAATCAAAAATCACTTATTTGCCCCCTGGGTCATGGAATATGAGCTGTATATGAATTTTAAGTTTACTTGCTCTAATGCCAATGTCGAATCCAAGTTTGAAATAACCACGCCCTGCATTAACGATGAAGAAGAAACACAATTTCGCTTCGGGGCGAAGGAAATCTCTCTCACTCCAAAGCATCGCACGTTAAGCATCGTGTTTGAAGCTAGAATAGTACAATAGATGAACAGAAGAACGAAAAGCGTGGCAATTTACACTTCTTTCTGCCAATGAAAGGAGAGAATTGAATGAATTTTCACCAACTACAACCAAACAGAGAGATCTCACCAAAAATTTCTCAAAAGTATCATCATGAATTAAGTTTTAGGCAAGCTGAATCTCAGTAGTATTTTTATCCCCACCTAGTATATGTTTTGCATTTCTTCACTTTTTACAATAAGTTGGTATTCTCATGTTATTTTGATGATTTTCACCGGATGAAATACATAATATATTTACCACGTGCCGTTCTCTCACTACACTGTTATATTTCTCAGCCAAAGCCGCAGATGGCGATTTCTTCATTATTAAAATGCGACTTATTTTAGCATCATGTTTAAAACACTCAATAAAACAAGATTCCAGCGTTGCTTGAACTTTAATGAAAGTTTTCATTTGGCCCTTCGAGGCTCCTACCAAGTATAGATTTGTTTAACTAACCTAAAATCTCCTCATGTCTCTTGCTGAGATTTTCTAATTTGAATGGTTTATTAATCATGCAATACTTACGCAAGAGAGTTTTTGTGCCTAACCTCAGCGTCTGTATTATAATTATAATCTTTGGAATTTATAGAAATTCGGAAATGTCACCAGTACCTTTGTCAGGTATGAAATAAACTTCCCAACATCTCACCAAAACTTTGCCGTGAGAAATGGTAATTAAACAGTTCTTAGAAGTAATGTAGATGTATTTCCTGTATTCAATTCTTAGGACTGTGAGGAAACTACAAATTTTTTTAGTTTCTTTACGTCTGAGAAAAAGGATAGTTTTGCTGTAAAGGTTCGACCTGCGTCGTTTCCTCAGTTATTTTCCAGTGTTTCAAACACCCTATTTATCTTTACGAAGGGTTATTGTTATGGCTTTGTATTGTAAAGAAGAAAACGTTTTATTTCTAGTTTTGATTTCAAGCTGTTTCCGAAGCACTTGCCATGATTTATAACACAGCGTGAAATGTTTATCTTGGAATTGAACCTCCCCAACCACTTTCCACATTTCCTCTAAGCTATTGTCATTATCAAAACAGGAAATCGCGCCCAACCGTGCGTTAAATTGCAGGAGATCTTCTTTGAATATTTATCCTAGAGAAACATATCTTTGTTTGCACTTGAGGAAAAAATTGAAGTGACAGATTTTTTTTCTTTCCTTTTTTTGTTTCATGTAGGAGATTCAGTTTACAAGTTCAGCCATGACCGTGTGAAAAGCAACGTCGTTCCAGGCAGATTAAAGTGTACGCTTTGCAGACGAGGATTTAACTCTCGAAGCAATTTGCGCTCGCACATGCGCATTCACACCCTAGAGAAACCGTTTCAGTGCAAGTACTGTAAGAAGTCTTTCTCGCAATCTTCGACCCTTCGGAACCACACCAGGCTTCACACAGGAGAGAAACCGTACAAGTGCAATGTGTGTCACTTCGCTTACTCGCAGCTTGCGGGATTGCGGGCTCATCAAAAATCTGCTAGGCATAGGCCTTTGCACGAGGCTGCAAAAGTAGCAGCCCAGAAACAGCAAAGTCTTCTTGAAGAGACAAGTCATATGGAACATTCACCAGACTCTTGCAAATTAGAAAACGCGACTCCATAGTTAAGAATTGTGCTTTTTCGGAATATGCTACTTAATTACGAAGGAAACTGTAGAACGCCACATCACTGTTAGGCGGTCTTCTTCAACATACTGAAAGCAAACATACGGCTTTGTTCATCAATCTCCTTAAGTGCTCATCCCAATACTTGAAGATTATCTGAAGCAAAAAGAAGAGCTCATTCTTAATTACGCTGAAAATAAAAAGTTGTAGGACTGAGTGCCTTAAAACTGACTTTTAAAATGGATTATCATATTTGATACCTATCCATGCAGCAGAGGACATTTTGGAACCTTACTGTACCTAGTTTCCGCCGTGAAATATTATTAATTTTCGTTTTTAACTGGTTGGCCGTTAATGAGGGCAAATCAGTAAAAATCGTGGTCAAAAAAGTACTTCAGCGCTTTAAAGTTGTATATAATGTAAATATGATTTTGTAAAAATAAAATTTGCTAGAAAGCTTTAATGTGCATTCAGTGTAAAATGTTTATAGCCCGCTTCCATTTGAGCTGTCAATGTAATTGACATGAGCTGCTAGTTTCAAACATATGAGTTGACACCAGTTTACTCAAGTACCGTTTTATAGGAAATAAAAAGACAACCATATGAAATATTTGTGTCGTGTCTACAAGATTTTTGTCTTAAAAGCATCACTTCTGACACAAATACAGTGACTAGGACGTGTAAGTTTTTATCATCCTGGAATGAGAACATGGTTTTTCTTGTCACGATATCCATCTTTCCTTGTAAACACAAAAATTGAGAGAGGCATTCATCTCAAGGACATAATAACGAGTCTGCAAAGAAACATTTCACATTTCTCACCCAAGTTCAATTAATGATTTTTTTTTCTTGACTTGGGTGACGTGTTGCTTTTATGGGTCATAGTTATGAGCCTTTTCTGTGACTTGCAAACGGAATATATGACTTCTTGGCTCTCTTAAATTGTTTGGAAAATTGCTTCTTGCATATGAAAAGAGGACAACTCAGTATTTACTTTATTTTATTGTAAAAACTCTCATCCTCGTGCAACGTTTATGTTAGTAATTAAAGTTTAATCTTTTGCCGACATTTCTCTGGGAAAATAGAAACACAGAGATAAGAAAAGAAAACTCCACAAGCTGTGGCATATTCAGGGTTTTGTTTTTTAATGTTAAGCGTTTGTCCGGGGGCTTATCTGCTTTTTTAAAAAGTGTTTTTCAATTGCTCTTTATTCACAAGTTTCAGCCATCTTGAGATATGGACAAGTGATTACTTTTATTAATTTTCAGCGACGAGCTCGCAAAATAGTTCAACTTCATCAAGAAAATTGTAAATCCTTGTTTAAAAGACTTCTAGACGTTTTCACCGCTCGAGGGGTTTTTCCCTCAATCATTTGTGAGCCAATATTCCACCCAACGTTTGCTCCTCGTAAAGTATTGTTTATTTGTCCATTTGTCGAATCATGATGAACAGTAAGCTTTTTTTTAATTTCAAAGATAGTTATCATGAAAATCAGATATCGTCGACTTTTTTCCCTGAAGTGATCCTTACAAATACGCAAGTAGTGTAACAGATTTACCCCTGATATATAATTCAGATCCAGGGGCTGTGATACCATCGATTCTATTAATTGTTGTTACCTCTTGCTTTGACTCATAATGTTATCAGAACTAAGGAACGCCAACTCAAGTTTTGATAGCACTTGCACCACATGTTGGGCATAATTTAACTTATTGACAAAGGGTGAGATAAAATCGCGGGACGTTGTGTTTGGAATATAACAGCCAAACAAACTTCGTGCACCACCGCACGCTCTAAGAAACAATTAATAAAAAATGATGATTTGGGTGCGAATGAACAGACTCGAATCAGTGAAATGAACCAAAAAAAAAATGACAAAAAGTAATTGCAATGATTTCAATTTGAAATGAAATGGAGAGGCGGCAGGCTTGTGCTAAAAAGGTAAGCTGTTTGATAAAAGAGAGCTGCTCTCGACCAACTTCCCAATCCTTTGTGAAAATACATTGAAAAAGATGGTAAATGTCAGTGCCTGCGTAACTGTGCAATTATCCCTCCTTTGACTCAGCAATAATCAACTGATAACAAGTTGCAGGTTAACATTGGTTTAAGGGAGGGGTAGGCGCGCAGTTGCTCTAATACCGACATTGATTCGGCCATTTTGTGCTCGGTCATCGAGGAAAGAAGAATACCACTGTTTTTACAAACTCCCTTATCCCGAATCTTTGTTTGCTGAAGAAGATTGACAAAACACCCAATCCTTCCTACCCTAACGTTAGAATGTATGCTTCGGCTCCATAGTGTTCTCTATGCATTTCCTAAGGTGCTGACAAGGTGAATTTCTTTCACATTCAAGAGCTTCTTTAGTTAGTATCATTTCTTTTATTCTCATAACCTTAATGTGTGATTCAGGAGCGATACTCTTGGGAGAAATTAAATGCTAGTCACTCTTAGGGGTCAAAAGGTTTAGGGAGGACACTTTTGGGCCAGACTTGTTCACTTTTGGGGCAATGCGACGTAGCTACGTAAAAATGCTAACACAACTCTAGACTCTGAAGCTAACACAAAGAACTATCCAAACTGTAAAATCCACCTACTGTCTGAATTGCTACAGGATGCCGTTAAAACAAAACCATAGCAATCACACGAGCCAATCATAAAAAAAGGAGATTATTTCAAGGGTAAAAGAGGACTCAAACCGAAAAGAAACAAACCGCCCAAAGCGCGGGAAAATGCACGTGACCAATTCGCGGTTGGTTCTACTTTTGAATCTTATTGGCAAGTTTTTCAGGACCGATCACATTGCGAAGTGAAGCAAAACCAAAGCAATCCGGAATCAACTTCGCTAATCAATTGGGATTTCTCTAACATGTACACAATCGAGAGGGGACAGCTAAGAGCACCACAACTGGCAATGAAATTTGGTGATTTTATTGCAAAGAACAGGCAAGTGAGAAGTTTCAGAAGTGAGATGCGTGGAAAAAAAGAACTGTTCCGGTCATTTTCCAAAACCCAAAATTCAGCTCCAAAACAAAATTTACTTTTCATCCTTTGGCAAAACTTCTCCGAGATACACACTGGTAAGGAAATCGCAGTGAGGAAGAGAACAGACAGCTCTGTACACGTGACTTGGTGTCACAAGCCTAGGACCGTAAGAGGTAGTCTGGTCAGCGGCACAAGCCCATGACTGACGCAATAGATCTTGAGCAAATCTTTTGCAGGCCGTCAAAAGAAGGCTTTCAATAACCTGCACATTTACTCCATCGGTATGGACAGTCTTCAGCTTGACACCGATGTCGCTACACGTTTCACGGATCCAATTCTGTTCCAGAGTTGACGGAATGGTATACACAACTGGTTTCCCATCTTGAGGCTTAGTTGCCTTTTCTCTGGGTATGTCACCGACCACATCGATTTCCAGGTCTTCTGAGTTGTCGTCAGGTCGTGGTATGTCAGGAAGACATTTTTCTCTCAATTCCACTTCAGGGAAAAGGGTAGATGGTAGCGTGAGGCCATTGAAACACAGTTCTTCGCATTTATGACCTTCATCTACTTCAGAGGGCACCTCAGATTGAACACCAAGGCAGCTTCCGCACAGATTACAGAAAGAAACTTCCTCCACTGACACTTTGTCACACGGCGTGTAACCAAACCGACGGCACCAGACTAAGATATCTTTGATACTGAGCTTACATAAAGGCATCGAGCTTAATATACGGCGCCTTACAGCTGCTGCCCTCTGCCACTCACAGGCTCTTCTCTTACCAATATTCCAACCAAGAAACTGTTCCGAAGTGGCAGCACAATAATGGTGCTTCACGACGTTTCTTGCAGGATCAATCAAGGGGTGTTCTTTCAAAAGTTTCCTCAACTGTTCTTTAACTTCTTCCGTGAACTGGTTCTGTCCGGAAATTAGCTCTGGGCTGCCACACCTCGATGATGGCTGACTGTTAACGGGTGATGACACTGCGGAAGAAATTGCTGATGAACCCGCGGAGACTGATTCCAACTTCACTTTTTTCAGTTGAGGATATTGTGATGACATTCCTGATGTGTCCGAAAATTTTCTAACTGTCGGAAGCGTTTCATGTTGAAGCTGATTTCTGCTGATCTGAAGGTCTCTCGGGGTGTTCCTAAGTGCATCATCAGCATGCTCTTTATGCGCATATGAAGAAACAGTGGGAAGTTTTTCAGAAACACTTTCTACAGAAGCTGGTATATAATTATCTTTGATCGTCCTACGATCCAGCTCCAAGTCCACAACAGTTTCGGAGCCTAATGTCTGAAGTCCTGTATAGGTTCTGTCTAACTTAAGTTCGTGAAAGATGTCAACTCTCTTGTTCCTGGGGTCAACAAAATGTAGCTGAACACGGACTGTAAATTCTCCCCAACCTCTTCTGGTCAAATGAAAAGGAGGCTTGTTGACTTCCACTATGTCGTTCGGACGATAACTCGGGTGAAGAAAGAACCACACTTTCTTTACAAATCGATCAATGTGCGGATCTTCGGGTGGACCTCGAACATACACCATCCACTTGTGGGTCGATTTGTCGTTATCCTCCCGCCTGTCTAACGATATGTACTTTGATGTGTTCCCAACAATGATTCGCTTTTTGACATAAAATCGCGATCCAGCGCTAGCAACAATCATGGGCGTTGCATATGAAACGCTTGCTGTTGCAATTGGTGGGTTTTCTTGACTTGTACTACTCTCTAAACAGTTTTGAGTGATTCCATTGCGTGTTTCGGGGTTTGATTTATCAGAATGATCTTCCTTCACGATCTGATTCAAGAGAGCAGGTTCTCCAGATGCAATTGTTCCATTTTGAGTAGTGCTACAATTCTCTTGTTTCGTGTGAAGTACAACGTCGACAATTTGATTCCTACTGCCAACAAGTTGATCATCAGTACTTGTTGTTGTCTCAAAGGCCTCTGATTTCTTAACTTCCAAAGTCTCCCTTACTTCTGACTTAACATTTCTTGTTGAACTGATCGTTTCTTTAGTGGGATTTCTGTTGTCTGGAATCCTTTGAAAGTCGACTCGTTTTGCAAGATGCCTACCAGACTTTCTTCGATCACATCCCTCGTTCTTGAAATGAGAACGATTTCTAGATTGGTTTCCTCTGCTTTCGGATGAGCCGTAATACCTTGCCAGCACGCACGCTCTCAGCTTATCTAACATGGCTTTAGCATGACCGATTCTATCGTCAATCACTTCAATCTCTCTTTCCTTGAGATGTATTTCCAGAGCGAACTGCTGTCGAATTATTTTATCGATCTTTTGAATAGTTTGTTCCTTTGCATCTCGCTGTCTTGAGGTCAGAATTCTTCGCTCTCGTTCCCGTTGATTACTGCCGGCAGACTGATAATCTGGATCCTCCATTTCTTGTTTGCACGAACTATTTTCCATGTTGCTTTAAAAAAACGCCATTAATTTCCCCAGAAAAACCATAAGTTACATCTCTGATTCGAAAAAACTGCTAGTCCATGTGTGTTTACGTTTTCCACGCGTGCTCTACGATTGAGAACGCTGCCAGAATTCGCGGGCGTAGAATTGTTTTCTACCCAGTCCCATTAGTCCAAAGCTCGTCCTTTTCTGGGGGTCCCTGCTAGTTATACATTTTGCTTGAGATAACAGCAAACGCAAAATTAAGAGGAGAACACTTCATGAACAACCTAACTTATTTTTATGTCGCCTTTAAGGCGCATCATGAACAACATGAATTTTATCTTTCCACCTTTCGAACTTCTTTCATAGCCATGCACCCACCCCTCCCATCTCACCAACAATCATTTGTTTACAAAGATGGTGGCTTCAGAAACGGAACATTATTAGCCGATCTCCAGGCTCGTTTTTTTCTTGAACATGTGTTGGGGAGATAAAAGCAACAATGCAAGCCCATCTGCTGGAAGGAATGAATTTATTGCAGTGAGCAGGTAAACTGAATAAAAGTCTGAAAGATGCGTCGAGTGCATTCATGCTACTACATTTTGTCTTCGACCGCTGGGTAGATTTCCGTGGATCATGTTAGAATATTTCAATTAAAGAATATTTATTTGGTCACGTCCACCTACAGAGATTATCGGAAAAGTGTTTTGTGGCGAATTGCATGTTTTCTTTCCCAATTTGAAAGGTGGTCTCCTCCATGGATGCTAGGAAGGGTGAAATTTTGAAGATTACAGAGCACGAATGGAAACTTGGTATCTGTATTGGAAGGGGAACATGTAGTGAGGTTTTTGAGGCTGCTGGGACCCTCTGCTATAAGAGTGGGCGTAAGAGAGCTGTTAAAGGAGCTGTCAAGGTTTTCAAGGAAGGATCACAATTTGAACAAGCTGCTCTCAACGAGATAAAGATTTTGCAGTATTTATGTCATGAAAGTGAATCCCTCGACGTATATTACTTTGGTGAGTATTTTTTATATGCATTTGAAACTGTTTTCAATGCTAAGTAAACTGGAAAGTTAGAAAAAAGATGATTCAAGAAAGGTTTTGACAAAGGTGAAAAGTTTGGTCGTGACTCACTGTTGTATCAAAGTTGACCAACTTAATTCTAAGGGGGGTGGGGAGGCTGGCCATTGTACAAGTGTTACTGTGAGCTAATGGTTTGACTGAATGGTACTCAGACACTCTGCCAACATGTCAACTTGCCAAAAATCTACTCTCTGACACAATTAGTCAATTTGCATAGTCATCACCTCAGGTAAACTTGCTGATTTACTTGTCACTTTGCCAATGTCCTCAGTCACTTCAATCCTGACATATATTCAGTGAGAGTTATTGGGCCAGTAATTTCTCTGAACAATCAGCAAATGTAAACCTAGTACAGTTGACAGCAAGTTGATGTTGGGAAATTGACCAAAAATATCGAGAAGTTGACTAGTGGTATCAGCGAGTTGCTTTCAAGCATGTATAGCACTAACAATTAGGCCCCTCCATTATGGGAGAGGTCTAAAAATCATCACCTTGATTTTTTTGCTTATTTAATGGTACATATTTGTTTTCTTTTCAGTGCATTTATTGGATTACTTCCTTTATAGAGGTAATTTCTACTTGGTTTTTGAGCAGTTGGATTGTCATCTTCATCACATTTTGCTTAAGTACTCAGCCAAAGGTCTTCCTATCTCTATTGTGAGAAGATGTTCTAAGGATGTTGTCAAAGCCTTGAGCTTTTTAGCCATCAAAAGAGTAGTTCATGGTGACCTAAAGATGTCCAATATAATGTGGAATCCAAACAGAGGTATCTTTCAACTGGTGGATTTTGGACTCAGTTTCCTTGAAGGACATCTTCAAGTGAGTCTTGTGTTTGTTTCACTGACAGTGATTTTCTGTACAAAGTTTTGAAAATGCTTTTGGGGTTGGGGAATCATCATAATTTGAAGGATGTAAGGATGGTTAAAATGGCTAGCAATATGTTTGATAAATCTGTGAAACCTTTAACCCCCATGAGTCACCATGTGTGAGACCTTGAAGAAGGTCTTAACACTTCAAATGTCATGGTGAATATTGTTGGTCACTAGAGATTTTTGAAAATAAGGCTGACAGTCAGCTATCTTAGCCCTTTAACTCCCATGAGTGACCAAGAAAAAATTTCTCTTTACAATTTCAATATAAGATCAAGCAGATAAGTAATAACAATATAGGAAATATCAACTAGGAGATTATTGGTAGATCCAATATTGAATTCTCCAAACTAAAACCATACAAATTGTAGGAAAGAGAATAAGGAGAATCACTACTGATTGAGATTTTGAGAGTCAAAGGTTTCAGTGCTTTTTAAATGTATTGAATTGCAGAGAACATGTTTTGGTACCATTATAGTGACATGAAAAAATTCATCAAATATATGAAAAAATACAGATAATTGTGCAACGTTAGTATCTGTTTTATATTCTTCAGCCTTCTCAGCCTCTTCAGAGCCCTGGTTACCAATCTCCTGAGGTGCAAATGTGGAACAGACTAGTTCCTCATGGTACAACTGAAAATAGTATGTCGGTGAGTAGTCCAGAGTACTTAAGAGCAGATCTCCAGAAATTAAACAGGGATATGGCAATATTAAAAAAGGTTACACCAACCCTCTTTTGGACCACCTCACAAATGACTTTCTTTGATATATTTTTGCAGAAATGTTTGTTTGCTTGTGACATGTGGAGCTTTTCTTATGTACTATGGTACATGTACACAGGACACCCAGCTCCCAGACATGAATTGCATGAACCAGTCTGTACCATGTGCTTGCAAGAAAAGGTAGCTACAAATCTTTAGGATATGTGTTGGAATTACTGACTCCATTTGAAACAGCTGTAAATGTGGCTTACATTTAGCCAGTTAACCCTTTGACTCCTAAGAGTGACCAGGATCTAATTTCTCCCTATAATATCACCCCTGAATTATACATTTAGGTACCATGAATAAAGGAAATGATTGACAACTGAAGAAGCTCTTGATTTTTATACATATACTCCATGTCAGCACCTTAGGAAGTTTATAGTGATAAGTATGGAGAAAATGTATATTGACTTAATTAGTTTTAAACTTTGTTTTTCCCTCAGGATTGTATGCATTTCCAGCAAATCCAGAAGGAATTACCTCAAGATGAAAGAGAGATTACGCTTGAACAACATGACTTTTTCCTTGACTTTGTTATGAGGTACTGTAAGTATTTAATGAACATTTTGCTTTTGAGTTATCAACTTTTTCATTTAGTTACTAACAGCTGTACATGTTATACCTTGGTTATCTCTGTCAGAGATGTTAAGCATTCTATATTTAGTACAACTGAGGAGTATTGCTGATATGAGAGATATGTGTAGTTTGACAGAATAATGCAAAGCACATGACCTGTAGAATAATGTTCCAATTGAAACCTAATAAAAACGCTTTTAAAAATGTCCTAACCCTGTTCCATTCTGTCCACCCAAAAGAGCTGACATCCAATTGTGTACTACAGTTGTCCTTTACACTTGCTCATACAACACCTAATCCCCATAGGGGATTAGGTGTTAAGGATCTTGTACTCGTGATTTTCCCCCTCAGCTGGTTTTGGAGTCCAGATTTCTTTCATTTCAAGGGAAAAGAAAGTTTAAGGCTTTCAGATAGATGCAACTCTCTGGTATGACTGGAAGGCACCTCATTTATGGCCTACCACAGTTTCTCTTGTGAAGAATCCAGGTTTTATTTACCTAGGGTATACAATAATGAACATTGTTGAGATCAGAAACACTCAATCCTATGAAGCTGAGGGAGTTCTGATAAATCTGTGGTCAATTAAGAATTTCTGAATGAAACTAAACTTAAATTTACTTTGACCTGCAGAATGATGAAGTGCAAACCAGAGCAGAGGATAACACCTTTTAATGCCATGCAGCATTCCTTTCTTAACGGCAAGCAAAAAAAAACCTGTCAGAAGGTTCCATGAATGTTTTTTGGCCTTTGGTGGTTTGTCTGAACAATTGTGGCCCTTAAGAAAAACCTGATTTCTTTTACTAGCATTGCCAAAGAGCAACTTAATGTACAGAATTATTTTTCTAAGTCACATCAATAAATTGATAAATTGTACCTATATTTTAGCTCTATGGTTTGTTTGAATTAGAAACTGATTTTAAAAAAATATCAGGTGGGTAAATGAAGTCTTGCTGGATTTTAAGAGAGTTGTTCCATGATGTACATGACTCTATATTTTCCTATCTTTACACAAAAGAATTTATACTCTCCATATAACATTAGCATCAGATCTTAACAGAAAGCAGACCTGAGCTAAGTGTCAGGATATACCAAGGACTGTTCTGTTCTTCTGAATTCTGTCCATAATGATTTTCTACCTGATTGCCTGGCAAACTTGGTTTTGAATTACCAAGTATCCACAAGGAGATGTGTGTCAGTTGCATCATGTGTACATGAAATGATACTCTCTTTATTTCACTTCAGATCAGCAAAGAAACTTGATTAACTTTATTTTGAAAATCATATTATTGGGCAGTTATTGCTGCATAAAGAGAGAGTTGGGTGCCATTCTCAGTTTGGATACTTTCATATATTTTTTCCACAAACAAAGTTATTTGTGATAGATATTAAATTTGAAAAATTCATTTAAAGGATAACTGGTTGTAAATGGAGTAATATTAATTTTATACCCACTAAGACTTAAAATTATATTATTTTGGTAATTTTATTGGTCTTCACACTGACAGAAGGTTCCACCTGGAATGTTCCATTGGGTGTGACAGAGTTGTTACTGCTTCCAACTAGAATCTTACAGCTGACCAACATTCTTTTAGAAGACCTCTCCACTGATTTACTATTTGGTAAACATAATTTTTATTTTGTTATTTGAATTAAAATATTTAAAAAACTGTGACAATTCTAATTTTTTATGTCAGAAAATATTTTTCAATCTTCAGCATGAAAATGGAATGGCTGGTTACAGTGAATGAAGTGTATCATCATGTATTTTTTGTGGTTCAGTGTTGTATTGGATTTTGAATTAATTTCAAACCAATTTGATTTTTATTTTCTTTGTGTTAGACTCTAATAATGAAAAAAAGGAAAAAAAAGAGGTATCAAACTCGAGTGAAGATCTTTCAACCAGAATGAATTTAACCATATACAATTCATACACTGCTCAAGCTTGTGTTTTAGTGATTCTGGGTCTGTATCAGTCACTTGAATACCCAGTTCAGCTCATAATATTTTGGTGTTGGGAGTGGAAGCGGAATCATTTGGCCTTCAAGATTCATGGTTCATTGTTTTTTTTTAGCTCAGTGATTCATGGTTCATTAAAAATTTCCATTTGATTTGTATATTTAATTTTAAACTTATATTTAAAATTATTTTTTTGCAGACGGATTGATGGATGTGAAGGAGGAGTGCGCAAAGTTTGGTGCTGTCAAGGGATTCAAGTTTACTGGTGATTCAAATATAGGATATAAGGTAACAGGGCGAGGGAGAGTGAAATTGCAATGAGGCTTTAACTTTCATGAGCCGAAGGGCGACCACGAAGCGATAAACAATGCAAGTTACTCGTGCAATGGTTATCTTAGCAGGCAAGGTTGTAGGTGATAGATGGCTGCCCGTAGATTAGTGGCGTTAGAAGGTACTTTACGACTCCACTTCGGCTGTACCTTAGGGCAAAATACAGCATTTTGAGGGTCATCGACTCTAAGTTTTCCTCTGTTACTTGTCTACCAGCATCTTAGATGGAGAGCGCGCGCATTGCAATTTAAGTCAAACGTGTGTAAAGAATTTGTTATGGCCAATCAGATTAAAGGAAAACGAGAACTCCTTTAGGACTGCATGAATTGCCGGAAAACGCCAGTAGCAAGCGGTTTTAGTTTAGTATCTATTTAGTTGACAGTATATCGAGTTTTTTCGACTAACTTGGAGATGCAGATTCAGTTATGGAGCATTGCCTTCCGTTATAATCATAAACGACATTCAGTTGAAAATTTCCTCAAACGCGCATCTTTTAGCCTTTAAAATGCCTTATAGTCTGCTTTCTTGCACTGTAGGTGTTTGTCGAGTTCTCTAATGCTGACGACTGCTCGCGGGCCCATAGTGCACTCACAGGACGGGACTTTAATGGCAGGACAGTCATTACCAGCTTTTATCCCATAGATTATTATCATATTGATTACTTTTGGTGCTGATACTTTTTCTGCAAGATACAAAAAAAAATATGAACTTATCTTCTATGCTCCTGTTTGTGAATTAAGGAAAAAAGAATCTTCATCTGATTTCTACAAATTTTTAATTCAGAAGTGAACCAAAGTTAAACCACATTTCTGGTTTGGAAAAAACATTTTTCTTAAAATGTTTTCTCCACCGAAGATTATACAAAGGTACTAGTGGACCTGAGAATGGCTGTAGGCTTACCCTCCATGGACTAGCAGCCTTTCTAGGAGGAGAATTAATTGTGTCGGCAAACTTTGAAGATCATGTTTTGTTTACTATCATGATATCCTAATCCAACCCTTCTCCCATGGCTGTTTTAAATTGTATTTTCTTCTCCCTTGGCTTGCTTAAAACTCTGTTGGAAAAACCCCATGTCAATTAATCCCATTCCCAGGCACTGCTAGGGATCTTTCACCGAATTTTATCTTGTTGGGGTACTCCTTAAGGGTCTTGTATTTTCCCTACTTACCTTTTACTGTCATTGGCAATTTCTTTGAGGTTTTATTATTTTTATGGTATTGTTTGAATAATTGTAATTAACTTATTAAAGTTTTGTTTGGGTAACCTCAGGCTCTCGTATATCTATCTTTTGGTGGGTTTGCAACGTAGTATCTTAAGCACTTAAAGGATTCCCCAGTCGATGTGAAGGTTAACTTCCAACCCCAGTTTTACAAACTCCAATGCAGCCTTGGTTACTGTGTTTCATACGCTTTCCTTTACCATTATGGGTACTGCGGGACAAATCTAGACGGTAATTGCGAGTAATTGATCCAGTTCACCTAGCGATTGTTTCCTTGATAGCCTTAATATGCATTTACGACAAAACTGTACCCAATTCCAAAGTTGCCAAGATATGACAGTAAGCTATTCTCACTACACTCGAATTGTTTGTAAACCTTGCGCGTGAACGCTGCAGCCGTGGTGTTCATAGCACAGAAACTATACGATCCTAAAAGGTACGTGGGACTGAAGAGAGCCTAGCGCATAACAAAGCAAATGCTAGTGTGTTCTTCGTTTTAATAACTAAAGGGTTCTGTTTAATTATCTTAACAAACGTGGCCAGGTTCATTGACAGCTCGAGATTGTGTAGGGAATAGATAACTCCTAACGTAGCAACTAAGGAATTGGATGCAGTTTCTGACGCAAACACATTCTTGAAGAGTTCAAAACAGAAAAAAAGAGGGTTCAGGCTAACTGGATCAATTTGTCGGCCTTTTCGTCCTACGGATTGCCCTTCCCTGCCAGTATTGTATGCTTTCATGTATTTAGATTATAAAAAATTCGCGTGGATTAAATACCTTACTCGATTAAATAGTTATTTTTCCTGAGAGGTGTTAACAGCTGAAGGGGTCTATGTTGGAAAAGAGAAATACTGGAAGTAGTCTCACATTAATAGCATTTGTTGTGAAATTCTTGGCTTTTCTTATAGAGCAGGTAACGATTGCAGCACAAGCGGACTTTGGTGAATACTCAGCGAGTGTTCATTTGTTTTTATGGCCGTTTTAAAGACTTTTTTAATTAGGTGTTAATTGTTGAATAGTTCGCTCTACCACCCGGAGTGAAATAACCCTTTGTACTCCAGGGACCTTTAAAGGTGTTAATATAAGCTGGATTTCATTTTGATTCCTTTCCGTCTAATGTTTACGGCAAACAACTTTTTTAACTCCTACAGAATGCAATGTTGTTGTTGTTTTTTTTTTAATTTCGCATTTGTGAAACTAGTTCATGAGTTAACGACTGAAGTTTCAAAGTATGACTTCTTTCGTATTCAATGGACGCATGCTAGAAACTTGTGCTCCTTTAGAAGGAGATTTAGCTTTGCAACAATTTTGTCCGTTTTGATAAAACAATCTGAAAATTGCATATCATTCGTGTGACCGATGTCGATTATGTGATATCTTTCCTTTTAAATTCAGTTGGGAAACGAAAGTTCAAGCCAAGTTGCTGTATTACTGCCAGCTGTGAGTCAGAGCAACATTCGCACGACCTTAACATAATGCCTGTACATTTTAATAACCAAACATGACTTGATTGATGATTTCAAAGTTCGCAAAGGAGTGTGAATGACTAGTCTGTCAGCTGTCGGGGTAATAAGGGGGGACAATGTTTACTTGGAAAAGAAAAGAAACTTCGCTATTTTGCGCTGAGGCGCGCCTCACATATTGTCCTCTAAGTTTGTTAAGGACGTCTTTGACAGTCGTTTGACCACAGGAGCAATTCTGACACGATCAGTCTGATCAGATTTCACGATATCTTTGCTTTATTTTCGATGAAGTTTTCAGTTGTTATTGGAACTATCGGTAGCGCAGAGTGCCACTTTCAATGTCGTTTCGTTCCATAGTCATCAGAACTAAGGACTCATTAATAACTCACTCATCCCTGACAGAACTACCCAAAAAAATTGCGCAAAGCCAAGCATGCTAAACTGGTGACGACTGCGCGATATTGAGTACTATCGAAGAAGAAAACTCTTGGAGAATAAAAGAGACGCATGAATGCTTAGTGTGGACTATATCATAAACTCTGATTAACGTTCTGTCTACAAGATATTGACTATGCACCCCTTTAAAAAGACGTTTAAAATAATTTTGCTTGGTATTGACATTTACAGTGTGCGTTTCATACCAAGCTAACCTTTCTTGCTAAATATTTCATCAATGCCTAATTCCCTATCAGGATCATCCCCTTCCAGTTCTTGTAAAGGTTTTCTAGGCCTTCGTATGTACCTGGCCTTTTTAGCCTCTTGTAGAAGATCTGTTAACGGCGGTAGCAGGTAAACAGTCCGAGGTAACCCATCGGGGGGAACATGAAGGTACTGTGTATAATCAGGCTCATCGTCATCTTCACCGTCGTTCACCTTATTCATAGTCGGTTGAGAAAGTCTAGTTTGAATCCTGTCTTTGACTGCAACGAGGTTAACATTTACGAGCGAAGAATCGAGTTTAGACGAGCCTTGAGGCGAAACGGGACGCAGTCGTTCTGTGTCACCGTTTGTATTTGTGATAGAGACGTTTACCATTACTCCATCGGTGGAGTTTGCGAGGTTTTGTGCCGCGGGCGACACATCGAGGTTAAGTTTTCTACTGCGCGAATGTTTTCTTCTTTTTTCTCTTGGCTTAGAAAAAACTCGCGGTGATGTGAATGATTCGTCGATTTCGTTCTCATCCACTCGTGAAAAATCAGTCCGAGAAGTAAGCTGTGGAGTGGCTGTACTCATTGAAGGTAGCGTCGGTAACGACAAACTTTTACGTCGCGAATCCTGCGCATCATCATTGTTCAAAGCTGCGCCGGTAGAGTTTCCAACCTTCCTTGAGTCGACGTCGAGATTGTTTCTTGTAGACGCTGCTCTTTTAGACTTTTTTCTTCTTGTATTGTTATCGCTGTCAACTTTACCCGGTATTGGCCGCTCGATTATTGTATCTCTCATTTCTAATTTACCTGAGGTTTGCGTGATCTCCCTCAACTCATGTTTCAGGCGTCGCATCTCGTAGTCAAGCGATTGCAGTTGTGTGGACTGCTGTTCCTCCAAGCTACCTTTACGGATTTGCAAGCGGTTTCCTGCTCTCTTGTTTAAATGACGAGCTTTGCTGGCGTTATGATCAAGCTGTTGGGCTGAAAACAGTATATTGTTGCCACGACGAGGAGTTCTTTCTCCCATGACGAATTAACGCCGAATGTACTTATGTCGACCCCGTGATTTTTATAATAACTATCCGTGAGACAAAGCCATGGTATTTTGACAACTCAACGAAAATCTCTGTCTTGTCGAGGGTAGTCGTTTGCATAACAATTCCCTCAGTCGATACAATTTGGTCCCGTCTGTGTGGGAAGTATTTAAGATATCTCAGTTATTAGCATAAGGTACTTAAACGTCATACACTGCATATACATTGAACAATGCCAAGCGTTTTGTTTTCTTTAGTGTCCCACTGGGAAGCCACTGATAGCCAAAGGGCAAATTTCTTTTGTGACAGGGTCATTCTTGAAAATCAAGCAACCGTTTTGTTGTTTTGAGGTTGATTGGCAAACCAGATTTTACAAACAAACAAATTAGATTCACATCACAATATTAATCTCACACACGAAAGGTAACAATACAATTTAATGTTTAGGAAAGTTCACGTGGTTCAGTCATCGTAATCATCCGATTCTTTGCACTTAGATCAGTTTTTCGTCGCTCAAGAGTTGGTTACTTCTTTCTTCGTGACCTAGGTAAGGTCTGGCGAGCACACTTTTACGTCATCAAATTGGTGGGTTTGAGGATTTAAAGAGGAATTGGTGACAGATTAAAGTGGGTTTTGACAGCTTTTATTGTTGTTTCAGCTGAAATAAATGAATTAAAGCCAAAAGGTTATGATGATTTTAATACAATTTATTAGGATAAGAAATTGTACGCCGTCTTTCAAACATCAAGGATTCCCAGTCTTTTTTTCAATAAATTATTCCTTTTACGTTTTTTTTCACGAGCATTGGAAACTGGCCACGGCATTTTGGTGTTACATTACGCATTTCCGTCGAAAGCACAACATTTTCAAAGCCCTCCAGGGTTCTAAAAGCACTGCAGGGTGTACCGGTATTAGTTTGACACAGTAGTTTCCAAGTTATCTATTCCCCGCAGAGGTCCGCAAAAATCGTCCATTTAGAGTTCCGTGATTCAGAGCCGTGGAATGGATCGGCCTCTTAGAGCAAATATTTATTCCAAACAATCGTTGTTTGGTTTCTTTTTTGCATCGGAGTGTTGTGATACCGCAAAAATCCCACAAGGGGGCACGTAAACATTCTTGTCGACCTTGATTCGATTTATATCGTCAAAAGGAGTGAGGTCATTCAACTGAATGTTGATTAGCAGATTACTATAAAAACAGTAACGATCAAAGTATCTCGTGTTTGCACCAGACAAAGGCAGCAAACTGTGAGGATGAAACCTATTGTACAGAGCGCTTTTCAATTGAATGTCATAAAACCAAAATCAAAACAACCACAACAGCCAATCATAGCGAGGAATATATCTCGAGGAGCCAATGAGAACTTGAAGTAAAAACAAGCAAACTGCCTGAGGCGCGGGAAAACGCGAGTGACCAAGTCGTGATTGGTCTTAGTTTGGCATCTGATTTGTTGAGAAAGTGGCGCCAGTCACATAATAAAGTGAAGCAAAGAAAAAGCAATCCTGGATTAATTTCGATACTCAATTGAAAATGTCTTTTTCGCAAATAACACAGGTCACGGTCTTTCCACCCCAGTGAATAGTTAAGCCTACATTTTTCGAGTCAGTCATCCGTTTGAATTTTCCCATCATGCCAGAGCTACCTTAGGGGGCCGGTTCGCTATTTGTGCTCTGGTTTTCCTGTGGTTAATTGCGCTCGGTTTTTTGTAGCACGTTCCATCCGTTTTTACACGCAATCGGTTGTTAAAGAACGCAGTGGGTGTGGGCCAGACATCTAACATTGAATTGGGTTTTAGTGTTTTATCGGTTTCTCGATTTTAACTTATTGATAGGGCTCCTTTTTGCTCCACTGCCTGTTGACAGAGTACTCAATAGTCGAGTCTTAAGATACAAAATATTTCACCTCAACCCCTGGAAGCAGGAAAAAATTTAGCTGTTTAGTGTAAATCAGTTCTGTTTCGCGAATGTTTGATTCCTGGTAATCGCAAATCCATCTCCCCGCCGTTGATTAGTAAATAGTCTCGGTACTGACTTATCTTTCAGTAGTAAGGACTTTTGAAAATGCTCATTCTATTTGCTCCGCTCTTTTCTTAAGCTTTCACAGTGACCCTAGTAAGCTTATAGGCTAGTGTTGGATACACGGATATTAATCCACACATCCCTGCATGGGACAGACCAAATAAACTAGGAAATACAAGAGAGATCAAAGCAGCTTTAATTATATTTTATTTACACAACTGAATCAAGCGTCTGATGGCCAAGAAGACAACGCGTTAGATTTTCAAGGCAGATGACATTTCACATGCGCATGCTTAACTATGTCTGTTTAAGTCTTTCGATCACTCCAGTATTCAAATGGTGCTTGCTTACTGGGTCTGAGCAAGAGATTAAAATCTCTTGTTCTAAGTCGGGTTTTTCATTGTGCATAATCAACTGAATGCGGCAACAGTAGCTTGTCGAAAGCCTCAGGTGGGTTGCTTAATATCATGCTGTTAGTTTCTTTGATATAGCGTTAGAAAATTAAAGTTACTAAAAATCATCATAATCGCTACGTACTCAATAGCTAAATACAGTCTAAAGACCTCAATAAATTTGATTATAGTGCTGATGATAATCGATAATTGTGTTTCGGAGTTACATATGGCATAATCAGAACAAACATAGGATTTATCTTTTCCGCGTGGATTATCAGTCAAAAGCTGGTATTAAAATACCGCAGCGTCAAAATTTAGTCAAGATATCTGAAAAGCAATTTAGACTTATCGCAATCCTTTTATTAGGAACGTTTTATAAAGGCTCGACTTCGTTCACCCCTGCCATGAGGCGGTAGGGCATCCAACCTTGTTCCCAGGACGTTTCCTAACTCTAAAAGAAAGGCCCAGAGAACGAGGTTGACGAGCATCAGAAATGGAAGGGGCATATCAAATAGTGGCCTCATAATCACCGAATCGTCCGTGGCTACGTTTTGATGAAAAATAAAACACAACTTGATATGTTTTTGATGCTTAGTCAACGAACCTTACAAGAGAGATTACATTTAAAGATCTCTACAACGTAACATGAAATTAATCTTTCAACGCATCTACCGAAATTGTAGCCACCTAGATAATGGATAAAAATTTGGGGTAAAACTGAAATTATATAGGTTCAAAGTCTTTTTAAAACCAGCCGATCAAATAACGGATACAGGAGAACGAAATCTTCTTTGAGCCGTCATGATATCAATTTTAAACCACTGGTACTTTCCTACTTAAGCATGTTCGTTGATTGTGATAGTACTAATTGGAAGAATTGTATGCTACACAAGTTCAGTTACCGCTGGTTCGTCGGCTAATTTAGAAAAATAAATGCAGACAAAGGCCGCTTCGGTTCGAATCATCGCGTCTTATGAAAAGAGCCTTTCAAATAGTCTCCTGTCGGGTGGCTCCGTTTTAAGAGGGCCCCAATTGGGGTTAAACGCAAGCTGTAAAACGGCCAAAAACTCTAGCCGTTAGGCGTAAAAATTTTTCATCGACACCCTCTTTCAAAAACCCAGCCACTCCTACGAGGGACCAGAAGGGAATTTCTCCTTACAATGTCAATACATTCTCAAAGAGAAAGTTTAAGAGATGAAACAAAAATATCAAGTAGGGGATACTGTTTGATTAAACACCAAATTTTCGGAGCTGTCTGGCAGACAGTGCAGAGAATTTGTATTTGGATCTTGAGAGTGAACGTGAAAAGACAAGAGTCCAGTACTGGGTATTGACTGGTTTACACTTGTTCCATTTCCACTGCCGTCTCTATTTCCCGCCTTCCTTTTATGCAAGACTTCCTGAGGATTGCGAGGAGTGCGATCATCAAACCAAGAGCGACAAGTGGGCCGACTATTGACATGATAACTTCCGTGTAGGTCAGACACACTACTGAGAAGAGAGAAAAAGAAAAGCAGCTTAGCTCTAGGAAATTCTATTCTGCATAAATCAATGGGCCATTTTATAGTTGTGTACTTAGTTGCCAAGCCTTTGATTTGGAGTGAGGCTAAAGGTTACCTTGCTGTGATAGAGACCAGTATCTAGTTTGCATGATTACGAAGTAGTTTACATTTGAAAAGCAGCAAGGTTTGTGTCAAAACAAGGTCAACTTAGCCTCATTCCTGTTCAAAGGCTAGGCAACCAAGCATACAACTGTAAAATGGACTATTTTTAATCGGGTGTCGAAAGTTATCCAGGCTTGCAATGTTTTTGCTTTGCTTTGCTCTATGATTGGTCCAGAAAGCTTGCAACACTCTGCCAACCAATAAGATGAAAAACTAGAACCAATCATGTCTTGGTCGCCCAGGTTTTCCTGCTCTCTATAATTGCATGGGGGGTTTGCTTGTTTTTTCTTTGAGTTCTCATTGGTTCCTCAGGGTATTTCCTTTCTTAATTCTCATTGGGCGGTTGTAATTACTTTCGTTTTGGTTTTACGACACTCAATCGAAAAGTTCTTTAAAGAATCGTGAATGCTTAATGTTTGCAGCCGATTAATAGGTCCAGGTCGAAGCGCTGAGTGGGAAATTACGTCGTATCATAGACCTTGAGGAATCCGCTATTTTTTAACTTTTCAGTTTTCTCCGCCTGGGGGCATAAATGAGTTCCGCGAGGAAAAGATAAGGAAAAGATAGGAATTGTGAATAACTTCAGTTGATTAAGGGGGAACTTTTAATACTGGTAGTCGCTGAATGCGTTGAGAAACAGATCTGTTCTGGCGGTTCTCACTTCGATCTTTTGTATATACTTCACCATTTTTGCTGGTTTGCTACAGGGAACTGAGCTTTCTCGAAGCCAGAGGGGGGTACTATTGATTGTCTTAACCCTTTGACCCCCAGGAGTGACTATCATCTAATTTCTCCTTACAATATTACCCCTGAATCAAACATTAGGGTAACGAGAATAAAGGAAATGATCACCTATCAAAGAAACTTTTGTTTGTTAAACAAATTCTCTTTGTCAGAACCTAAAGAAATGTACAAAGAACAGTGTGGAGAATATGCATACTGATGTTAGGGTGTGAAGGGTCAATATCCATCTCGTTAGACCTAGTTAAATATAAAAAATCCTCAGGGTTTCTACACTCACTTTCATCTGTGTTTGTGCTCGAAAATTCCGATGAAGCTTCCTGTTTTTGCTCCGTAGGTTTGGCTGCTGTAACAAGAGGTTAGGTTAGATCAAGTTAGTCATTGGTATAACCAGAGCTCTTCACTTGGAAAGGAATCCTGAAAGTCCTATCAGAGAAATTTTAGGAAATAAAATATTGCTGGAAATACAGGACGTGCATCGGTTAGGAAGGCCCTTTTTTAAAGTTTAGCCGATGAGGAAGGGATGTAATCTCCGACTTAGCTTAGTCACTCGCTATGGAGATAAACTTTCTCTAATTTGAGGTTTACAGACAAAATTAACCGATAGCTAAAGTAGATGCTTCAAAAATGTAAGTTCGTGCCATTTTTTTTGTCACCAAAGTGCCAAAACGCGTCATTTATCGTGGTGTGGTTGATTGTTCCTCTTGTCATTACAACTGAACTAACTGCCAGGAGAGCAGAGTCGTCATAAGAGCTGTGGTCATTAACGTTATCGGAAAGAAAAAAAAATGGTTTTAGAACCTGGAGAGTGGTCTCTACTGTAACCCATACAAGGATGCTACACCTCTAAAGGAAACCAAGTCCAAAAGCGGACACTTGCGTCTAAAATCGGACACTTGCGTCTAAAATCGGACACTTGCGTCTAAATTCTGACACTAGTTTCTGAAATCGGACGCTGAAGTCAAAAACCCGTCGTTAGTGTCCAGAAATAGACACTTGTGTCTAAATGTTGATACCAGTGTCGGGCGCTACTTTTTAAATACAGACACTCGGAAGTAAATTAGGACACACGTGTCTAAAATCGGACACTAGTGTCTAAGTTCGAATACTAGAGTCAAATATTGGACACTCCTCTTTAAATTTGGACACTAGATTGAAAAATAGGACAGTGGTGTCTAAAACTGGAAAACTGCGTCTGAAATTGGACTCTAATGTTTCTATTGGACAATAGTGTCCAAATTCGGACAGCAGTGTCTAGATGCAGTCTCTGGTGTCTAAAGCAGATACTAACGTTTAAAATCGGACATTTGTGACTAAAATCGGACACTAGTATCTAAATTTGGACACTAGTATCCAAAATCAGACATTAATATCTCAAATTTGACACTAGTCTCTAAAATCGAACACTTGGCCTTAAATCGGACACAAGAGTCTAAAAAAAAAAAGATACCGGTGTCTAGAATGGGACACTGCTGTCTAAATTCGGACTCTATTGTTTTAATTCAAATACAAGTGTCTAAAATCGGACACTTGTGCCTAAACCCAGACACCTCTGTCTAAATTCGAACACTAGTGCCTAAAATTAGACGCCTCTCTCTAAATTCGGACACTTGTTTACTAGGACCCTGGGAGGTAGGCTTTAGGGTGGTGCCTTTTCGTAATATACCGTTTTAGGGATTACAATACATCGTTTATCGTACTAACCGTTTTCTCTCATTTCCCGATCCCGTTTAATTCCTACTGGCCAAACCACGAAGGGTCCCACTGAAACGTCGAAGTCTTCTCGGAGAGGACAGTACTGAGACTGCGTCAGGCAGTTAAACGCAGTTAACATGGCTGGCTCCTTCCTCTTGCACGTGGTCATTTTACAATGGAGGTAAAGGAATTGTTCGTCTATCCCGAAGAACTGCCTTATAGGAAACTTGAATCGCACAGCCCGGCTTCCCGTGGGTGATCGGAGGTAGTCAACTTCTAAATCATTAGGGCAGCTAGAAATTTATGTTAAAAAAGGGTAATTATGGCAAAAGTATTGAAAGCTTAACGTTATCTGGAACTTCTATGGTTTTCCTCGACGGTGTCATGTGATTAAATTTAGTAACAAACAGCGTCAACTTTTGAAGAAATCTGATTTCGCCCCATTGAAATTAAATTATGGGCGTCGAAGCAGTCTTCGTCGCAGCCGTTTTTATGGGATGTCGCGTACATGCAGCTGCCTCGGATGGCATTCAAAACAACGGTCGGCTCGATCACCAGTCGCTGTTCGGGAAATTACACCACCTTACTATCAAGAGGATAAAAGACTGCATTCGAGGGAATGGGGGTAATCGAGCCCGGCTAAAACAGCCGCCGGAAGTCGACACAACTAGACACCATACAAAATGGCTTATCTTCTTAGGAGACTGGAATCGAGGAAAGTAAGTAATGACATATTCTTCTTCGTCTGCTAACAATTCTGTATCTTATTTTCACTGGATCATTAGAAGAAGGAATTAAAAGCGTAACTGCAGGTTTGTCCGTTTAATTTCCGTCGAGGCCCACTAGATAATCACATTGTGCGCTTCCGATCAAAACTTTGCCTACGCTATGGCTGTTTGTGTGGAATCAACTTTAGATCACCTTTTATATAAGTATGATCAAGTGCGCTTTAGTTGGCAATCTTATGAACTTTATCAGTCCAGCTGCTCATTCAGCGGAGAAAATCTAATGAAAAAATAAACTCAATTCACTTACTAATCAAAAATGAGTTTATATCCCAAGTTAGGATGGTGATCTGAGCAGTTCTTGTATGCAGTTACGTGACACTCTTTGGGAATGGCTACAAGTTCCTGCCAGATGGCTAAAATAAAGGATGTACAAGTATTAGTCGATATTGATCATAATGTCGATTTGGTGAGCCAATGCTTTCTTTTTTCTCTCGAAACTGAATTCAACACTCGCTGTTCTTCTCCATGCACCGAAGTGGAGCCTCAGGTCATCCAAAGAACAAGAAAGCAGCACAGGTGATCCAAATCGTAAATATCGTAGGCAAAAAAATACACCCGGATTCTTTTCTTCCATTTGGGTAAGAACTATGAGTAGATTCTTGATCATTCTTCGACAATATTTTTACATCGTTGTTACTACTGGTGCCTATTTTACGACCAATTTACCAATCTTATCCCAGCTAAGCTGCATTTCTATATTCAAAAAAGCAATTGATTGAAGAATAGTTTCGTACCTTCTACTTCAACGAAGACGAGGGAGCTCAAGTCCAAATGGATAGGGAATCTGGTGTACTTGACGTCCTCGGTGAAGGAATAGTTCGAAAATAATTCCACTTGAACTTCTCCAAAGATTGAACTACTTGCTCCTAACAGAGAGAATACAGTTTTTACATGAAATTTCTTGTATAATGATGAAAATGACTTGCTTGTTGTCTTAAGAAGTCGACGGGAAGTTTTCAGTTATCTAATCCAGAAAAATTATCGTATTGCTATTTTCTATTTTTTCTTGAAAAAATGAAACTAAGAAAAAGGGTTTAAATTGTCGTCACATACGATAATCCCCAAACATCTATTTCAATTGTACAGTCAAAAATGTGAATATGAAAGCGATCTTCGCAGTAATGAACACTACTTAAGCAGAAGTGAAAAAAAGGCCTGAAAATAATTCAGGCCTGTACGGGATTTGAACCCATGACCTTTGCGATACCGGTGCAGTGCTCTACCAACTGAGCTAACAAGCCAACTGTGTTGGTTCCAAAGAAACCCGTGAAGTGATAAATAAAAGGCTGTGAATATATGAAAGTCATATTTGAACTGCGGATAAAGACGTGAATATGAAAGTGATCTTCGCAGTTATGAACACTACTTAAGCAGTAGTGACAAGGAGGCCTGGAAAAAATTTAAATGTCTTTAAAGCAGTTAAAATCGAGGTTAATGTCAGTAATATATAAAGATTGTAAAGCCATTTCCGAAGAAAGGGCCTATCCGCACTTGCTAAAAAGATGTTTATTTTACTTGCTAAAAAGTTGTTTATTTTGACAAATTCTCTGTCATCACCAACATTTTACAACTGCGGATGGTTTGTCGCGACTTGACAAATTTTGGCCGAAGCCGATTAATCTTCAAATGCACCGCCAACAAAATCTATCACGGGTGAAAGCTAGACAAACTGTGATAAACTTGTCCAACATTTGTCGTTAAAGATACGACAGCAAACGTGTAATTGAACTGAAATGAGTTTACTAGAAAGGCAAGAAATGTCTTTTGATGCAAAACTCGGGGATTTTAAAGTCTTAAAACGACATAGGACAAATCTTGGAAATTGAAGGTGGAATCCTATGGCAAACTTTGTTGGCCGGTCTTATGAACAGATCAGGCCTTGACAGAATTTGACGGCTTTGAAATTTTTTATGTGGATACAACAGACGAAACAAAAATTTGTCTTGACAAAATTTGTCCTTTGATTTTGTCGGAACAATTCTAGTTTTGTCCGCTGCTGCAGGAAGGCCCAAACCATCAATCATTACAACGAACGTAAAGTTCATTCATAGCATAGAGTATTAGACTTCATTTATGGGAAAGAAATTGAAAAATTATTTCATGTATTCAAAATTTTTTCCAAAACATCCTGCATGACCAATGAACATGCAAGAATGGCAGCTGTCAATCACGGGAGGTCGGTTACGGTAAAGTTGTGTGCCACAACTTCCACAAGTATCTGCATGGTGGTGCGAATTTTTTAGTGTTCTCTCAACTGTTTCGATTTCACAGAAAATTTTTTTCTTCCTTTTCTAAACTACAAAACGCTAATCTGACACAACTTTTTCAATTGTTTTTTTCTTTCAGAGTCAAGTACCCAAAAAATTTCACCCCGGCATTTGAGCTTTCATTCAAAATTTAAATCAAAGAGAGAAAAATCACCAAAACATATGAATTAGGAGATTAGCCTTCGTCTTGAGAAAAGTAATAATGTTACATCTAAATTTTGCATTCATGAATTTACCTCAGAACATCAGGGATTCCACGACCAGGTTTGAGTTTCAAAATAAATAATTTTCATTGCGAGGCGGTACGCGGTTGTATTGACTGTTTTTGGGAGATTAAATGGTAATCGGAGTTCTTCCTTTGTATAAGTGTCCTTGGCGATTGATTCGTAATGACACTCTTTCTAAGTCTAACAAAAAGTCAAGACAAAAGATTTTCTTGGCGGCGTCACGATGCACGATGGCTGAATATTTCTAAGATGGCGTGTTTGTGCCAAAGCAACCTGTATTTGCGTGGTATTCAAAATATTAAATGTTCCATTTTATAGCCATAAATGGTATATTTAAGCTCGAAATCTGAACTGGATCTCGTTGGCACTCAGCGTCCTTCGTTATCAAATAGACCCTCAAAAGATATTTCGGTCAGTGCTGTAGCGTTGCCTAAGTTCTGTGTGCAAGGACTGGTTTAGAACAATCGCGACTTTTTACATTAGTTACCTTCAATTTAAAGATTACCTGACAGACTTGAAAGTCCGATTATGATGTACACAACAATCAAACTGTAAGACATTTTTTCTTTTCTTTCCCTGAGCTTTCAGTGCAGTAGAAAATTGAACTGATCTGAACACAGCCGGGCCACGTGCAGTCTCTCGAAACGTTACCACGGAATGTGACGTCATACTTTTACGAAATGTACAAGAAACTGTTTTGCGCTTTGGTACAAGATGAGACGTGCTTAAAAAGGAAAATATCTATTTTCACCGATTCATAATGGAAAATGTTGAAAAACGATCAAGAAAAGCACGTTTTTTTTGTACAAAAGCGGACAAAACGAACCGCTTGAGATTCTTCCTGTTTCCAGAAATTAGTTTATGCATTTAATTTTGTTTGCAGGGTAATTGTTGGTTCCATTTATTTACTTTTCATTTAGAGACCTCATTCATGAACACAGAATGGCTCCAGAAAAGATATTATGAGCTAGGCGGGGGTGTGAGTTTCCAAAGATACTGTCGTGTGGGTATCACAACATAATTTGGTTTGATAAATTGAGTTGAAAATGCAAATTGGCCACCGCAAGGACTGTTTCAAAAGCTGGCGTTGCGAGCATAAGCCCTTGGAAGAGCAAGGACAGGCTAACGAAGGGCTCACGCTCGAAAAGTCAGCTTTAAATTTTTAAATTTTTTTGGGGGTGCTTAATTTGCTCTACAAATCACAATATACGTTTTTGGACAGCACAATCAAAACGGAAGCGTTAAGACCTTTCCCGTCACTGTTTTGTGTAAGGAGTAATCAGAATTGGAAAGCATTGCTTTTCCTTTCCCGTTTTCAATAAACATTTACCTTAAGGAGCGATTTCTATAGAGCATTTATGTTGACCGTTTTCATAAGGTACATGTAAACACTAGAAAATTAATGTCCGGTTTTGGATAATGAAACGACAAGGGGCCAAAAGAAATCCTAATAAAAAACCTAAGGCTAAGAAAGAAGAAAAAAGAGAAATTGAAAAAATTACCCTTAAATTCATTAGAATTAACAGTTTTCTTGTCCAGACTCTCTTCTCCCTGGTTGCATTCTTCCGCCCACACCATAAACGGGCCCATGGTTACTTCATTTTCTCTGTGGTGTGGACAGTACTGTGTTTGCGTCAGACAATTAAAGCGCATCATCCTGGGCACTTCTTTCCTTTGACACGTGATCATTAAACAATGAAGGTAAAGACATTCCTTCGCAGATGCATAGAAATGGTCAAAAGTAAATCGGAACCGTACGGCCCTGTTGCGTGTTGGTAGATAATCAAACTCTAAACCTAACGGACAACTGAAAAACGAATTCAGTTAACTCTATTAATCAATCAATCAATCTATCTACCCATAAATCCTTCGATCAATTGATCTATCATCGATCAATTGTGAAATCAGCCAGTCAGTCAGTTGATCGATCGAACGAGCAAGTTTATTTTAGTCACTGAGTTAGCTAGTCAGTCAGTCTGATAGCCAGCCGGAAAAACCATTCTGGGGCATTCATTCACTCGGAGTTTCCACCGTTTGCTCATTGAATTTCTAGCTGTATCTGATTAATTAATTTGAATCAGTTTTCTCTTAATATCTTTCCCTATACTCACCTGTCGTCCAGTAATGTATAGCCTTTCGTGGAAAGGTGATCAGTGAAGTTTTTGGAGCGACTCAACCGGCATTTCTTGGGAATAACTACATGTTCTACCAGGTTAGCTAAAAGAAAAGGAATAAAGTAAACAAAATGAAATAAAACATCAGTGTAAATCACATGAGTCTATTTTGACTTAGCTGATCAATATCATCTACTATCAATGAACAAGGTGTGACAGCAAATCACTGCTACATTGACTACATTCGGTCAAAGCATCCTAGCTTTGGATAAAAAATCCTGCACGTGATTGTAATCGGACAAAAAACCACAAAAGTTATGACCTGGTAAAAACGGAGGTCAGGTTAAGTTTAGAGTATCAGCGGTTCAAATCGGAAAAGAGGACAACGAGGTTTATTATCATAGGTTTTTGTTAAGGTTTCCCCTGAAAAAATTTCTTCCCTAAGCTGCTACTGGTCATTTAGACTGAAATTACGACCTGTTGCAAAAAGTTATATATTGATGAAACAGGAAGACGACGAGGTGACCGGTTCCAAGAACACCTTCGCGACGTAGAAAGAAATGACAAGGACACATCCAAACCAGTCGCTAGCCCCTTTAATCTACCTAAACAACATATAGTAGTTTGCGGCCTTTCCCTATATCTAGGCAGTTCGGAAAGCCACAAAACTCTATGACAAAAGTTTATCTTCCAAATCGGCACTCTTAATCCCAACGGTGTCAACGAGCGCTTTGTATTCAACTAATTTATTCTTGTTTTCTCGTCAACATATTCCCACCAATAGCATAGCTCCATTTTCTACAATAAACCCACACAACCCACAATTCCTCCAATCGCTCTGACGAAGGGCTAAACCTTTAAACGCTTTACGGTGGCCGATTTACGTATTCAACTCAGTTGATAGCACTAGATTACCCTGAAATTACGACTTGCCGCACTTCACAGTTCGGATTGATACTCAGATTTTGAGCAACTTTTCCTTACCTTCAACTTCTACGTAAACATAGCTGCACATCCCTAAATGAATTGGGAACTTGGGGTACTCTTGAGAAAAACAGCTGCTGTCAAAGAGTTTGACTCGCACTTCATCTTGATCTACTTCATTCGTGTAAATTTTGCCTTTGGGAAAAAAAAAGTTAACATTAAAAATTCCATAAGTCTAAGGAACTAGAGAGACTATTAAGAGACTGCTACAGAATTTGATAATCATCGATTCTCAGGCTATCATATATATTTCTTAATTTAGGTGCTGGCAAAGAAATGCAAGAACGTTGCACGCGGGCAACTATGGGGTGAGGTATGAGAGGAAATCTTGTTTTACCTCGTTACTTCTTCCTCCCAAAGCTATCACGCTGAGCTCGCATTATAAAAAGAGACTGGTTATAAAAGTTTAACTTATCATGGACAGGCGAGGAGTAAAAAAGTTTATCTTCAATAACCATTTGTTAATCTGATCTCTTCATCTTGTTTAACTTCCTCTGGTAAAACCACAAATGGACCCACTGTCATAATAGTTTCCTCTCGCCGGTGGGGACAGAACTGTGCCAGCGTCTTGCAGTTTATTGCTGTCATTTTCGGTGGCTGCTTTCTCCGACATATGGTAACCTTGAAGTGGATGAACAGGAATTGTTCTGCAATCCCAAAGTACTGCCTTATGGGGAATTTGAATCTTACGGCCTGGCTCACTGCATTTGATTCAAGGTAGCTAAGTTCATTCTTGTCCGGACAGCTAAAATAGATACATGACGAAATACAACGATTAGTTTTAGATTCCTCTGTAGATCGAATAGCATTTAGCCTATCGGTGCTTCTCACGGCTCAACACTTCCAACCTCCACAGCTGAATATCTCGTCTTCACTTCGTTAATAGACTGTGGCAACGCACAGAAAATATTGGGTTAAACACATCAGAAAACGGAGGAAAAATTTACGAAAACGGGATGTTAGCAAGTGCAATGCTCGTGCAAAACCATTGTCGAATATAATGTTTTCACAGCGTTAACTGTTTCAGGAAAACACTCAACAAACACTGTGTCAACTCACGCTGGATAACTGATGAGGAAACGGACTGTACACGGGGCAGTTTTTCAGGCGTCATGAACACCATGTTATTCCTGTATTTGCCTCTAGTAAATACCGAATGTCACTTACGTTCTCCATAATAGGAAAACGATATTTGAACAAGAAATTTTCCTGATATTCACCGTTGGGTATTATTATAGGCAGGTGAGGGATTTTACATTGTAATGATGTGGCATGGTCTTAGGGCAACAGAATGTAACCGGGTGAAAATTATCTTATTCAATGTCAATTCTACAAGTGAAGAATTAACAATAAATAGGTAAGGAGTACAGAGAGCATGACGATATTATGGCTAATTAGGTTAACTTCAGAGTCTGTAGTATCCATAAAAATAAACTCACGGTTGATCTACCATGACTGTTTTTCAATTCAAAGCAGCTAAAACAATAAAATTATCAAAAAGCATCCAGTAAGGGTGTTCACTCTTCCCACCCGTAAAGCTATTCGCTTCTCTTAGTAAAGTTCAGTGCAGTAATTTCATAACCTCCCTTTCCGCTTCCCAGCCATGTCCAGTCACCTCACTTACAAATCTTCGATGAGTCCGTATTCCAGCACCGGATTGTGGTTATAGTTCTTAAATGCACTCACATGACATTCTTTCGGAATAGCTATTTGGCCCTTTTCCGTTGCTGAAAATTGAAGTTGAGTAGAGTTAGAAGCCGGTTTATTGATGCTCTCACTGCCACGAATAAGGAAGAATTGATATCGCCTTAACTGTCAAGCAGACAGATTATTAGCGCACGGAAAAATACATATCATGAACTCGCGCTAATCTTTGATACTTACACCCTCATTAAACAGTTTATCTACTGCACCTTAATTAGATTCTGATCAAGTCGTCATTTCTTTGCACAGGTAACACACACAACACCGTTAAGAGTCACGTAGCTATTTTATCACCAATTAGACACTAGCTATTGACAAAAGACAGTACTGACAATATATTTCTTTCCATTTGCAAATGTGTGGTACTGAACGCGTGTGACTAAAATCTAAGAGGGAAACCATATAGAATGGACTCTAGAAAAAGAAAGCAAGAAGTAATTGTATTCTTCAATTTTATCGGATGGAAAACAGAAAGATCCGCTGTTTGCTTCGTCACACTGAAGCCACGCCCTGAAAGGAAGCTTTATTGGTTGTTACTAATAATTTTCATTTATCTCTTCCTTTGGTTTTGCTTTTGTTTATTACCACAAAAACAAAAAAAAAAATTCGATATTATTCCTAGAGGAACGTTTTCATACCTTCCACCTCGACGAAAACATTTGAGTTTACGTCCAAATGAATGGGAAATCTGATGTACTCATACTCTTTGGTAAAGGAGTTGTTTGAAAATATTCCGACTTGAATTTCCACCTCCTTGAAAACATTTGATTTACGTCCCTGATGTACTCAAAAAGAGTTGTTTGAAAATATTCCGACTTGAATTTCTCCTTGTCTCTTAGGAACCGTGACAACGTTTTGGATCACGTGACAACGTTTTTGGATCAAACCATACTGTTATTGTTGTTAATATCATTGCTCTCGTTATGATTATTTTTGTGTTTAAGGATGAAGTTTACGACAATAGCAAACGACAAAAAAAACACATCCATTTTAATCAGTTTTTCTATAATTCTTAAGTAAACCCCGAAGCAAAATTAATAAAGATATCTTGTTGACAGTCAGAATAAATATGACAACTTTGATGTAATTGAACGGCTGAAATCAAATAGTTGGATGCTGCTACTTTGACACCCACTTTTTTTCCCCATATTACTTATTTCAGTCTATCTGTCAATTCTTGAGGGTAATTTCATAATAATGGATAACGACACACTGAAACCTTACCTTGATCACTTATCATTCCGGCGGATAAGCCCTGACCTCTTTCTGAACGGTCCTTTCTCGGAACTTTTTATAAAGAAACGAATGTTACTAAAATGTGTAGATATGTCGACATTCAATCCAAAAGATGCACTTAGAAAAATACCTCAACCCAACCTCTCCTCAACCCAAACTTCCACAATCATAGTCAGAATACAACCCATCTACAGTTGGTATCTCAAGACACAAGGATTTGATTGGCAAACCTGAGGTAAGCCATTCGGGGGCTGCGCGTTGTGTGGATCTGTGGTGCAACAAATTCCGACTCATGAAGTTTAAGGATAATGATGAAATTGCTTCGTTGGACGCCTCTCAGTACAAATAATATGTCTTAGTCAAATTTTCGGGTGACCCGGGTTGTGTGGATCTGTGGTCCTTGAAAGAAATTTGAGAATGGGTTCTTAACTATAAGTAATTCGAAAAATCCACTCTTTATATATGCCCTCTTTACATTACCCTTTGTCTTTATATCACTTACTGGTTGTCGGACCCGGATCCGATTGATTGCACTTAGCTTTAGTCGGCCACGACACAAAGAGACCCACAGTCACGTGGCTATCCTTTCGTTGCGGACAATGTAGCGCTTGTGTTCCACTGTTGAACCTGTGTGGCTTGGGCACCAGTGGCGTCCGACATGTTGTCATTTTGCAATGGAGATATATGAATTGTTTCTTCGGGCCAAAGAACTGGATATTGGAGAATTGAAATCGTATGGACTTGTTGCTTGTCGGTAAGTAGTCACAGTGAAGAGCTCGCGGGCAACTGTAAATTGAGAGAACCATTTAGGTGTCAGTAGCTAACACAATCTTTTAAAAACTTATTTATCTCCAATTAGGCTTTTTCCCTCCTTGACCACGTTTAAGTCGTTTTGCTGTGGATTTATGGCACTTTGTAAAAGTTTATACTCCTTAGTGTAATAGCAGGATGGAAAGGATGCCAAACTGGTCAAATATTTCAAAAGACATGTTTGACTTACTGATGGAGAGTTTTGAGTCACCAAAGACCTTCAGTTTCAGACCGATGTAATGATTCATCATTGTGTTAACTGTGCGTGACATTCATTGTTTTGCTGTCTTGTGATTTGGTGAGTGAAATTTATATTGTGTTTTATTATATATTTATTTATTCAACCTGTTCTGCGGGCATTCAGTTAGTAAACAGGCCAGGACTCGCGATAGTTGCGCAGACAGAAAAATGCCGTGTGGGAGGTTTGTGGGACGACTCGCTAAAAAATTCTGTTAAACCTCCTTTCTACTTTCTAGATCTGCGTTATTATAGCGACCCGTTCATTAATTGACTCAATGTGTGGAACAAACAGCATTTGTCTTCTATCTTTGTATCTACAATTACTTTACTCACTAATCGCTGATCAGTTGATATCCTTGTGTGGGGCAATGGTCGTGTTTCTTGTTGGCACTCACGTAACACTCCTCAGGAATAGCGACATGATAATCATCGATGGCTGCAGCAAAAAGTAGGAGATGATTAAAGTTCAGAAAACTTCTCTTTGTTGCTCATCTTACTTCAAAAATACACAGGGAAATAAAGAATTGTAGCAATTCAAAGCACTGTGGTAACATGAACCATCTGCGTTTTAATACCTTCTAATTCGACATAAACAATCTCATTCTCTTCCAGACGAGTTTGGAATCCGGGGTACTTCAAACTAAAGCAGGCGTCGCGAAATATCCTCACTTGAATTTTCTCTTCAGTTTTCTCATTGGCGGAGATTAAAACCCCTGAAGAAGATGAAGATGAGACTTTAATAGTTGCGTCTTCGTTACTGTAGGTCTGTCGTTACTAGTTTTGAGGCCGTTTTTCTAGACATTTCGTCAAAGCTACCTCGTCCTTAGAGTATTTCGCTTCTCAAAATGGCGTCAATATACCCGCTGGTTTGAAAACCGAGGTGCTCCTGGTGACGAGACTTTTGTCGAATACATTCAGTTACGTAGAGCAGTTAAACGTGCGATGGGGATGAAGTTGTTGAAAATGAACGTTTCCACCTGTCTTGAATACACGTGAATGATTATGCAACTATAATTAAATTATATAACGAGATAAATTGCTGCGTGCATGAGAGCATTTGAATTGTCAAATAGTTCTGTGTTTTGGCAAAACGTTTTCTTTTATCTTCGCGGAGACCTTCCTGTGGCTAGGATATTGGGCGTGATTGAATTGGGCTGTAATTCATCAAAGTACGCCCCGACATAACTGTCACATCAAAATACCTTTTCCATTTTCTTATCGTTTGCTACGAGCTCTCAAATTAATACGATTGTCCAAAAAAATAGATTCAAAATAATCGGAGCGGAAGTGAAACATAAACAAGCTGCCTTATCGCATGAGCTGGGGTGATCAGGAGTAAGATGGAAGCCTATTTCTTACATTTCAAAGTCATTATTAATCCAGTTGGTTGATCAGATGTTCTTTGCCAAACGTACCCCCACTAAGACTATTTGACAAGTAGCCAAAACATGTCTCGAGGTTAAGTTTATTGCTAGGAGTCAGTTCAAGTTTTACCTAGTTAGTGTATAAAACTGAGGAAAGACATATTGTATTTTTATCGAAAACTGAAGAGGGTAAATGGAAACAGAAAGAATTATTGTTGACAAGGTATGCAAACATAATCCTGTAGTTAAGTACAGTTTAATTTTAATGAATAAATTCCCGTACCATCTAATGTGTTTGGAGAGTTCGGGTTCGGCCATTTTGTAGACTTCACTGTTTAATGCCATGGCTTCCCCACCCACCCACCCTATGAAGAAACTTATTGCGTGATTGAATTTGAAGGTCATTTCTCCCTTCATGCCTATACTATGGTACAACTTCTAATAGAGTGGAAGGAGAGGCGTTAGGGGGAGGGGGGGAAGGGGGTTAAAAGTACGTGATTGAAACTGATTTACCCATTTCTGATAAGTCAGTTAAACTAAGAGATTGATTGGATTCGTTTTGGTTTTACTCTTCCAATCTTTCATTAATGTGATTAATGTAATGATTAATGTAATGTCAATCTCGTTCTTCCAATTATCAGTATTTCAGTCCATTTCAGCATCTTGTTTGCTATGCTTCAAGTAAATTTTCAGCTTTGTGAGAAATAAAACATCACTGAATAGTTTCCTCGCGGGTCGAGAAAAGAACACGGAGGTCGAAAAACAACATCAAATGGAGATTCTTCACAAGATATGCTTTTCGATTTAGCTTCAGTACTCATGTTGAATTTGGGCGCTTTGCAGCTGGTTGCTGTCGTTAGTGTCTATGTGTCCCCATGTTGTATTCAAGCCAGAAAATGCTTAAAAATGAGGCGTTTAGGAGCGATCTTTAAGGTCTAATTCTTTCTTAGATAGAGAAAACAGCCACCGATTCCAGGAGGTAAACGTAGTTTTGTCTCGGATGATTGTTGAGCGGTAGCTATAGTTTCGATACGATTTTTTTAATAAGGGAAAAGTGCAAAAACAAGGATTTTACTTTCATGATTCTTCGGTTTCTATGAGCAGAAAATCTGACACTCTTACCTCAGGGGTAGCCCGGAAAAGGGGTCGTAAGGCGAAACCCAAACACGAGGGCCAGCTCGAAAGATTAACATACGGCGGTGAGAGGTCTTATAGACAGCGATAGACTGTCAACAGCCGGCTTTTCTTGAAACTCCTGTTAGCGGCTACAGCCAGACCCTGCCCCTTTCTTTTCATTTTCAATCATTGGCTCTAATGTCTATTGCTTTCTTTCTCTTTTTGAGTTGTTAGCTACCTTTGATTTTTTCATGATATCTGTGTCTTACTTCCAGTTAAGTGGGTATTTTGGTTTAGCAGAAAACTAATTCCAGTTTATTCAAACTCAAAGATCTAAAAATATTTGTATGAAAATCGTAATTTTGATTATAGAAAAGGCTCGTGGAAGTATGATAAGGTTGTGTTGTGACTTTTATTTTGCAATTTTTTTTTTGGCTTTTTTTTTTTTAACCATAATTTGGTGACGTTGAAAGGAAACATGCACAAGCACCACAATGTCACTATGGTAATAGTGTAAGAATAGGATTCATAACCTTCTTTAATTTATGTTGAGAAAGCTTTGAACTGATATTTTTACTTTCCGATTATTGAAAAACCAAACTTGAACATCATATTTCCACTTGTAAAATGTACTAGCTGATATCATCGTTACTTTAAACCACGGCTTGCATCCTCAATTTTTCGTTGCCTCTTTCATTGCAGATTTAATCTTACATACAGCTGGGTGAGATTTAACTCAAAAAGGTGAAATGAAAAGGTTATCTTCGCTCTAAAAACTGTCTACATTTGCTGAGACCGAGCTTTCACGTGTTCCCTTCAACTGTGACAACTAGTTAGCAGAAGCCACGCTGTTTCAAGTAGCTTGCGACTAAATCGAATGTTACGTAACCGCTCTCCGAAAATAATATGTTTCGTGTGCGACTGATACTGAAAAGATTGGGGTGAACCTGAAAATATCATTTTGGGTAAGGAAAATGATGCGGGTTGAATACCGTTAGGATTGGAGAACACCATGACGAATTTGATGCGTCCGATAAGGAGACCCTTCACGCGCTTTCTGAGACTCGATTCCACGTGCTTTCAAATGACAATTTCTCAATTTTAAGGACAGATTGCACAATTATCCCAACTTTGATGTAAGCACTCTTTTGCAAATTGTGAGCTAGGTGTTACCAGCTGTGAAAGTGAGTACTGTTCGACTCAGATTTTAACAATACCGTTATTCGGTGTACATGTGCCGGCCATGCCGGTGGTACATTCATTAGGCTCGGGTGCAAGTAACTGTTCAGTGCTACTTAATTACCTGTAATAATTAACAGCATAGACCTTGTGAGGACAAAAATTGCAAACAGCATCATCCCTCAAGTTTGAACAAATCTCCCTGTATGAAACTTCTAAAGCCATGTGCTCTCAAACTTTGACTGACGGTAAAATTTTTTTATTTTCCAAAAATAGCTGAGAATTCTCGCTTAGTGATTGGTTAAGGGCTCTGATCTCTGAGACTCAGGTCACAATGAGTTAATTATATAATGACATGCGACTCCCACGTGGTTAATTAAGAACGTTTTAACGTACTTTGAACTCTTTTCTTTAAACAAGATATCAGACCACCTGAGATGTTTACTTTATTGTTCCTCGCCTGAGGTCAATCGGCCATAAAGAATTGTTAAAGTTTGATTTTTTTTTATGTTGGAAATTATTTTGAGCAAAGATTTTTCTTCCCTGGAGAACAACCAAGCCCAGGTGCCTTTGTTTTGTCGTGAATGACTTATAATTTAATGCCTTGGCTTTTCTCAAGGGTATTTCACCGATATACCGTTGTAATTGACCTCCCTTGTTCCTGCATATTTTCCAGCAATGTAAGCTTTTTTGACTTTCTCCAGCCAAAAAAGGTTGCCTCATAATCTCTTGATCTCTTTTATTTCTCTCCCAGTCAAATCCTAAATTACCTTGAACATCGCCTAGATTACAGATTACTTTCAAAGAGAGAATAAAATTTCTTAGAAGTCTCAGTCATTGTCATCTATGGTAAGTTTCCTATTCTTTCCACCAGAGACATACAGGGGTTAGACTTTCCATTGTTACTAAATAACTTATATTATATTAAATATAATAACGTATAAAAACCAACTTTTAGTTTCTGCGGATAATAACAAAGGAAAAACATTTCTGCGGACATCACAGATTCTTAAAGCTTAAAAGTTAAAGCTTCCAAGCTTATGGGTTCAAAATTTGGTGGAAAAATTATTATCAAGGAAAAGGAAGTGAACGAAACATCTTTCACTTCCGCTTCCGTATGAGCCTGCAATATCCTGAGCAGCGCCCTGTGTAGAGGATGCGTAAACAAAGGCCGGGGACCAGAGCGGAAACGGAATTAGACTGGATCAACAGCTGAGAGCGGCACGCTTACACTATGAGTGGAAGAATTAGCGAAGTCTCTTAAAATTCTCGATAAATGTTTGCAAAACTCAAGCAGAAAATCGCCGAAGAGGAATCAACCTCAGACTCCAGCCGCTCTTTGCCTTCTAGTCCGAGTGTTCGACGAGCTAAAGTCAATGGATGGACGGAGAACAAATGGGAAAGGCGAAGACTCAGCAATGCGAGTAGCTTGTACGAATCAAGGGAATCACTACTCAGCGAAAGCAGTACTGTTTCATCAGGGCTTAATGTATCAAGACATGCTTCTTTCACGAGCAGATCAGCCGCGACTCCAGTTGGGACGCCTATCGAACCTCCGGGTTTTTCGGTGTGTAGTAGTGTTAGTTTGACCATTAGAGCTCTGTTTCTCGTTGTCTTGTTGCCTTTCCTCTCATGACTTTTTAATATCATGCATTGTTTCGCTGTGACCTTGACTACACCATGTCCCAGAGCCGAAAACGTTGTAGGATATCATTTGTTTCGGCAAAAAATGGTGACTTTGTAAATGGAGGAATACTTTCTTTTGAATTAGTACTAAAGCTTGATGCTCTTTTGCCCATATGGCGAGAATTGTGGCTTGGTCGCGGTGAATTAAATTATGATAGATATTCCACGTTGCCAACTCATTACCACTCTTTAAAGGTAAAAATAGTGATGAAGAATTCCCTTATCGTTTCAAGGAATGTGTTAGCAGGGCAATACAGTAACACGACAAAGCTATCCTTTTTAAAAAAATGCGTTCTGTTGTTGATCTGATGTAAGTTGACTCAAAATAACAGAGGTCATAAATAATGAATCACGAATGTTTGGTAGGAGTGATTCACTTTGTTCGACCGTATATAGGTTCAAATTTGATTGAAAGTTGTATTGAGAGTTATACTTTAGCAAATGTCACCAAATTTCCTCTACATTTCTAAATACGGTAAAAGGTTTTGATTTGCATACATGTAAAGTTGTACATGTATCCACCTCATCCTTGCTTGGGTGGGTTTATGGCTGTTCATGCTCTGTTGCACAATGTAGTGCTCCTTGGTACAGTGTTTTTACCACAGGTTTCCTTCAAATCTGTTTTGGCTGATTGCAAAGAAAAGACTGGCATTCTGTCTGGTCTGAAAGAGATCTTATTAAGATGTTTCTCATCTCATTATTTCCTTATGCATAATCGACACCAATCAGTAAACCAATTTTTACCTGTTTTGAAATGGAAAATGATAGTAATTACATTTGTGATCTATAACTTCATATTGGTATAAAAGGATACTTAAGCACTCAGCTCATTAAGATTCTCTTTAAATGTATATTTAAAATACTCAACTTGTAAACATCCTTTGACTTCTTTAATTGCCAAAACTTTTCTTTTAGAATTAAATCTTCAAATTTAATCCTTTGTGAAAGATCATTTATACAGTCTCAAAATTTTATGTCTTAAATAAGCTACATGTAATTTGAAATCTCATGTAAAGCAGAAGAATGTTGATATATGTGTACAAGTACAGACAAATCACTATTATCAACAATGCATATCAACAAGGAAAGAAACATTTTGGGGGTGGTGGGAGAATTGATTAAGTTTCATATGCTATATTTAATCACAAAAAGAGGTCTCTTAGGCATATGTTAAAGATAATAGCTTCAACCCTTAATTACCACAACTTTTTTGATTCCTTGTGGTGGTGTCCATTTGGAGGAGCTGGAACTGTGTGAAAATGTATATTTTTTTTGTTGTTGCAGGTCAACTCTCGGTCATCAAAGGAAGAAATTCTTCATTTGTTGGCGAAGAAAGGGGATCAAGTCAGTAAACTGGAAGCAAAGATTGCAGGTGAACAGATATTCAAAAACTCCTTTAAATGAACCCATCCTGTTTGTAGATTTATTAAGTACTACACATGTAGTTGATCAGTGTGATCAGGGTAAGCAGCAAACATTATGACTCTATGATCTTTCAAGCTGTACTTGCTCAGTTGCATTGCTGTTTCTGTTTTACCTGTTTTTCTAGATATGGCAAGTCTACTGAGAGAGCAAACCCGAGTTAAGGAATCCCTTGAAGGTGCTCTTGAAAAGCAGAAGGAAGGTAATCATAGCAACAAATTTTTGAATGTATGTGCATGCATGCCATGTGTAATACAACTAAAAAATATTACCCAGACCAGATGCACCTTCTTGATAAGCAGTGATATTCAAACTTTTCAGGAGAAAAGTGTGAGGCAATCATTATGGGACATTCTCCACAAAAATTGGTTTAATCAAAGAAATTTAACTTGAGAATTTGTGCTGCAGTGGGAAATTTTCTAATATCTGATGGCTGGTAAACACCTTGAATGCTTCTAGCATTCATCACAATGGTACAGAAACTAAATTTGGTCTGTGATACAAGGTTGATTTGTTTGAAAATCTCAAGATCAAATACTTTACCCTGCCTTTTCAGGCTATTCTTAATTCTCCCTTTGTTGCATTCTGTGACTGAGATATTTTTCCTCTTTTTTACCATTTAGTTGACATTTCTCTGGCCTTTGTTGATTTCCTTTGTAACACTATGTCAATGACAGATATATTTTTTGCTCTTTTTTTCATTTGCATGACATAATTATAGTTTACTCTGATTGTCATGAGTGTTTCCATTGTCAAATCACTACATACATGACTTGTATAGTTGTAAAATATGTTTTGTGCAACAATCAGAAAAGCATAATCATTTATACAAATTATGCTAAGAAACTGAAGACACCTCAGATCCAGTCTGATGGCTGGTTTGCTGGCTGGACGGTATAACAAATTATAAAGTAAACCTTGAACTGAAATGTCAACTTTACATTACAGAGCACTCTATGAGATTAAGAAGTATGAATATAGAGTTTGAAGAGAAATCCAGGAAGATGAAAAACGAATTTGAAAAGACTCTAGATGAAAAAAATCAGGTATTACTAACAGTGTGTTTGTAACTTTATATCAAGTAATAATGGTATAGATGTTTTAAACTTTAACTAGTTTTTGTTCCCATGATCTTTGTTTTTATGGTTCTAGTTTTCATAATTAATTGTTTGAAAGTTAAATGCTATTTTTAAATTTTGAATGCAGTTAATTTACAAATACGCTATTTACAGTTGCGTTAGAATTTTCCATATTTAAGGATTTATAGCAGATTTTTTCTCTCATTGATTTTCAAGATTGTTGTTAAATTCAGAGGATGGTGTTTTTATGCTGTTGTGGAATGTAGTACACAACAGAGAGTTATGTCATGCAAGTATGCCACATACAATTACAGCACATTATACTTTGATTCAATCCTGTAAAATGAACGGTAGCCACATGTTCAATGTACATGAGCTGCTGTACTCAGACATACAGTTTGAGATTACTATGAAATCTCCTGTTGCCATTTTGTCAGCAAAAATTCCAATTGCTGACAGATTATATTTGTTGACAGTGGTAGTGAAACTGCCCTACGCATAGGTGCAATAATGTAGTCCAAAGACTTATTGATTTCTGTAAGAGAAATATTACAATGTGTTAGATTATAAAACTACAGTGTGTGGTGTTACTATGTTTTATAATAGCAATGTTCATGCACACTTTAGAAATGTTCATGCAGAGTGTTCCTTGAATTTTTAGTGAAATCAAATTTCTAAAAGTTGCATTAAAGAAAAGTATAGTTTAGACACTTTGAATATACTGTATTTGGATATGCACAGCAACATTTAGCAGTCTCTCCATGGTGTCACACACTCAGGCCTACTTGTTGTAAGACTGGAAAATGCTATCCAGCAGATAAACCCTTACCCAGAGGATGAGTATTATCAGAAGTGTACCGCAAAAAGAGATTTTTTCAGGGAATAGTGTTAGCCACCCTTCAAACAACTGGGCTATACAGGTCTTGAATTTCTGTGGAGTCGCAAGATTGGGAAATATAAAAAAGTCTGAGTTAATATTGGACCAACTCTCTTGTCCTGCCTTATACTAACTGATTCTAAAATGAAATAATTATTTTAAAATTTCCCATTTTCTGAACTACTGTTTATCAAAGTATGAAATCATTAAAATGTTTGGAATTAAACTTTTAGGAACTTGAAAGTAAACTAAAGGAATTAACTTTGGTAAGATCAGATTGTTGCCTTTTTTAAAATCTCTAAAAATCTAGCTCAGACCTAAATTAACTGGCTCTGCTGTTATTGATAATGATTACTATTGGTTAAAGAATGTACTCACTGATTTGAGAGAGCTTTTGTTTACATTTGTATAATAATTTTTTGTCCTGGATTTACCTGTAAATACCTGGAGTCTGCATGAATTATCAAATTCAAACACACTTTTCTTGAGTATTTTTCAATTTAGACAGTGGCATTACAGGGCTCTGGTGGAATTTGATTCGATGAAAATAAATCTTGTACTGCATGCTAACCATTTCTTTCTTAACATTGAGAGTTTCAACATCTTCCTTTTCCAGTAGAAAAAAAAAGCAAAACAAACTGATATCAGCATGCGACCCACATAGGAAATGGGTCATGCATATTATAGTCAATCAGAGCATGTGCTTTTGTAAAGCTGTGTTATAAGTTAAAATAAGGTACGTGGCAATTAAATTTAAAAATTTGAAGATATCAGTTCTAAGTTTATAAAACATTCTGGTGGTTTAGGAAAGCACTCGCTATGCAGACTTGAATGAACTTAACCAACTCCAACAGCAAGAACTCACCAAGATGAAGTCCTTGGTAGGTTTTGCATTTTGCAACTACCCTTAAACTGTAGCAGTACTAAATTTTATATGGATAGCGCATCTAATAACAGCCAAAGGCGTTAGTCTCCTCCATGGCTCTATGAAATACTAAATTGTCAAAATATTAGAATGTTGAATTAATTAAATAGCTAAACTTTCCTTGCTACCAATTCTGAAGCTGTAAGGCATGGATTTCTTCATGCCAAAATCAATGAAAGTAACTCCCCTTTTACTTTGTCAAAGTGGGAAAGCAGACTAAATCATTAACATTGTTCCACTGTTTAACAGTATTACATGTGTATTGCTTTTTTGCGCTGCTATTATGAATTCTTAAACTGTAAATGTCATCAGTGATGAATCAGAGAAATAATTCCACAGGTGTTTATGTGGTAAGTAGTCAATATGGCTTGATTTCTGTGCTCTTGACCTCTCCTTGGAATTTCTTTACTAAATCAGACATAAATTTTTGAAAATCATTCTGCAATGACACATGAGCATTGTGACAAGGTCTTATTATTTCTTGTTCCAATGCAACTGTAACAAAAATTTAAATTGAAAGGTGTGAAATGGAATCATGATGACTGAATGAAAAAAAATAGCCAAGTTAAAACTTTAATAAATGATTATATACGCAAATGAATAAATAAATAAATGATCAAAGTTATAAAGAATGAATTGGTTTCGATAAAAAGAAATGTCACTAAGCAAATGAATTAACAAATGTGAGAAAATAAATTCCTGGACAAAAAATAGTTGAGTTGTCTGATCTTACATCAGTTGACTTGACTATTAAGCATAAAGATCCTTTTACACATTTTTAGTTAGCAACCAAACACATTCTCTATTATTTTTTATCACAATTTGTCTTGGTAAATGATTTAATTTAAGAAATTGCATATTAGGAAGAAAAGATATTGTTGAAGAACTCTTGAAGCCCAGTTTGCTATCACTCACGGAAATTTTTGAAGATACCAAAAAAGAGTACTATTGCATGTGTCTTTACGGTACCATGCTGTTTATTTTTAATAAGTGTTATGAAACACTTACTCTGTACATCAGATAGAGGCAAATCGATACATTTTTAGGAACATCCTTAGGGTGACAATGCAGTCAAAGCTCTCGAGAACACAGCAATTTGAAATAATTATTATGATTAACTTTTTGTCAACAAACAAATTGGCCAGCCTGTATTATGACATGCTTCAGCTTCGGTTATAAAATGAGAACTAACTTCATCGCTGTGATCTTTAATACAAATTTCAAATTACATTACATTGCACAAGTCAATCCAATGAATTGTGGACAGCTGAAAAGAGAATACAAGATTCCTTATATCCTTACAAAACCGCCTTGAAGTATCAAAGTTTCTAATAGTTAATTAATTACCTTGTTCAAAAAAAATCAGTATCAAAGACTAATTACCAAACAAATTGCTCTTAACTCATAATAAAAATAATTAATTACGATAAAAAATTAGCACTTAACGTATCCTAGAAATAAGTAAACAATTTCTTGCGGAAGACTGACAAGGTGTTAGACTCCCTAATGTTAGGAGGTAGTTCGCTAAAAAATATCGGGTTCTATATTTGGAATCGTTCATCCCTTTTGTGCTCTAAAGAGTAAAGACTTCTTAAAACATACCATAGTCATATATCGCATCTTTCACCTAAAGTGGAGATCTGTACAATTTTAAACATCTGTATAACTTACACTCTTCACATGGTAAACTTAACGGAATCCAGTTGATAGAATCCGTAAAAATTACCCATTTTATAACCTCTAAATAGTTTATTCAGTACCAAACCGACGCCACTCGCAAAGCTGCAGAAATATTTGAAAAAAGCAAGGTAAGAAATTTTAAAAATTCTTTGATAACAGTGAATTGCTACAAACAGCATTGTTATACACTTAAAACGAGTAGACACATTGAATTAAACATATTTAAAAAGCCATTTTTTTCACTAAGCTTTCACACATTTAGGTTTTGAAATAAGTAATAAATGCTAGTGGTTAAATTTAAACTAAAGTCAAGTGCATTATTACTAGAGATTTTACCCATTGTGAATGTTTATCGTGTTAATCGATTCTATTCCAGATCCTTCAGATTGTTTTATGCTGATCTCTTAGATTAGGATATTAAATCGTAATGAAAGTAAAATAATGGATTTCCTCAACTGTAGAAAATCATATCTATGTTGTCTTTTTGCTACAGCAAATAGAGGACTTGGACAAATCTTACCTTGAACAGAAAGGAGAATTGGCTTCTCTTCAGGAGCGTTTAGATGACTTGGCTCGAGAAAGGTTTGCGTTCATGTGCAGTATTTAATATTTTCTTGTGTCGGTGTACTACATGTACATGTGAGCAATCCATTCCATACCATGGGAACTGCCAATCAGATAGCAGGAAAGCCGTTGTATATGCGACAGTTTTACACGTAGCTTGCGTTGCGATCTTACACCCGCTAAAAGTTTGTGAACGGTAAACACGCTCTTGTTGAGACTCACGTATACTCATAAAATAATTTATTCCAGGAATATTCCACAGTACACTACTCGAAAGCGGTATATTACACATTTCATGATTCATCTTACTTTCCTTGATCTTTCGCTTAAGTAATAGTATTGCACTCAGAGGATGTTTGGAGCAGACAAAATCAGTGTTTGACTGTTCCGTTTCGTTTGTATTTAATTGTTGCGTCAGTGATGCGCGCTCGGTTTGTTTTTGACTGTTTTCTCTCTTATTTTTACTTTTACGTTAGATATGCGCTCTGATTGTTTTTGACTGTTGTGTTTGAGATGCGCGCTCCTTTGTTTTTGAATGCTACGTCAGACATGCGCGCTCTCTTTGTTTTTGACTGTTGCGTCAGTGATGCGTGCTCCCTTTGCTTTTGTGACGTGCACTTTCTTTGTTTGTTCTTAACTGTTGTATCAGTGATGCGCACGGCCTCTGAAGTGACACAAGAAACTGTTGTTTTCCTTTACAATGTCGCGGCTCACTTAGAACAAACAGCCAGTTTTTGTCCTCGTCTGAGGCACTTCTTTTTGTTTTGAAAGGACAAAGTTCGAGTCCCGTGACAAACAACAGCAGGCACGAGTAACAAGTCTCGAAAAAGAGAAGACCTCTCTTTGCGACGAACTTAAAAACACTGTGAATGAATTAACACAGGTAAGAACGCCATTGACAGTCTGCGTGTCATGTACGCCCGGAAGGGAGACAGGCCGTGTCTTGAGGTGTAGGGCCACGGCGTAAACTTTTTAACAAAGCTGGTTGGCTTCAAATGCAGTGACCCTTATACCGTCATGGTATACTACAATGTTCTGATGTTCATAAACGTTGTAGGCTGTAATATAAGAATAGATAAACTTTTGAATTTTATATTCAAACGTTACTTAATTGATTTGAGCTTCGTTTTGTTTTTATTTCTCTGTTATGGATAATCTCAAGCTTTAACAGCTGGAGTTTTAAAACGTTATGTTATTCGCAATATTTCCCTTTTTTTTCTTTGTCCTGAAAGCCTTATCAGGGAAGTGGTCAATACAGTATACCTAAAAGTGTACATACCTATTAAAATAAATATGTTTTCGCAGAAATCAGTGCAGCTCGATAGAGTCGAAAAGTCTCTTCGTCTTAAAGATGAGGAATTGGCTAACCTGAGGCAGACGCACGCTTTGTATAAAAACAAGGTATGATGAGCTACAGATAATTTTTATCGCACCTGTCAGTAATCCGACTTGCGTTTTTTGTTTTTATCTTAAAGCCTTACTACTTTTTGCGTAACCATAGGTCTCGATGGAACTGGAACAAAACGAAGGAGAAATCGCTCAGTTGAAAGAAAGAGTAGGCGATTTACAACAAAGGTGAGAGTGGTTTCATCTCCTAAGCTTTTGTTTTAGAGTTGTTAAATTTGGTGGGGTTCTCACAAGAATGGAAAGCAGACACAAGGCCTTTTCTCCAGTAACGTGTTACAATTTCACCTTCTATGCGATTTGTCTTTACGTGTTTTCGTGCACAAATGCACACAATGCGCACATTCACATGTATGTCGGCAAGCAGTTGCAAGTCTTCAAAAGCTTTTTCTCTCTGATTCTCGAATGTAACTCAGTAAACAAAATGTTCTGTGAGCTTTTTCCTGCTGCACAGTTTAGCAATATTCCAACTAAATGTGGTTGCTATGTATCTTTTCCACGTACGTCTCTTTATTCTGATAAGTTTTTGTTCCTTGTTCTAGAGTTGACGATAGCAAGCTTTCGGGTAACGATCAGGTTCAAGCTATTGAAAAAGAGGTACAAGTTGGTTTATAGTGCTCCTTGTGACTGTACATGTGATTATAAGAAGTTCTCGTTTCTTCTCCATGTGGTATAATAATTTGTTGGTTTCAATCTTAATTGCAGAGAGAGCAGCTTGAGAATCGGCTCCGTGAAACTCGTGATCAACTCAATGAATTGAGGGCGAACTCAAACGATCGAACTAACACTCTGGGATCTCTGGTAATAATCTTTCTTGTCGTTTTTTTTAGTTTTTTTTTTGTTCTTTCGAAAACAGAATATTTTCAAGGAATTTCCTTCCTCATAATTGTAAGAGTTCTTTAACTTAAGACTCCATAATTCCTTGGGCCTTTCAAACTTTTATTTATTGAACATTTGTGTTGTCGTAATGGTAGACTGTGAAGATTACCTGAACTCTTTCTTATTATTGCAGTTGCTGGGTATGATATAAAATAAAATTGATTTAATTAACAGTATGGTATAGAAGAACAATCATGTTAAGAAAATCAAAGGACTTATATCTAAATATTGAGATTGGAACTGTCAAAGAATTAGAATTTTATTCTGTTTATTTAAATGTACTCTCTAGGTTAGCACTCTAAATGAAAGATTGGAAAGAAAGGAATCAGAACTTACCGAGTGCAAACGAAGATACGACCAGGATTACGAAAGCTGGAAAAGTCAAGTATGTTATCACTGGTGCTGTTTCATTTAATTACTATTCATATCAAACACAGACCACAATGTTTGGGTAACACAGTTGATTGACAAGCAGAACGAGACGCTGGCGCTAGAGATCAACAAACTAAACAAATAAGGGTGGTGTGGGCGGGAAAGCGTTGACTAGCTCGAAACTGGCAGAGTGTCAGAGCGACCTGAAACCCGATGCACTGGAAAGCTACGACAAACTGTCCAGGGGCGTGTTCTGTACGGTAATTACCCATCATCACCCAGGGTGATCATTGTACGTTATTTAGATATTGGTTTTCAATAACTTTCTGATAAACAGGGCAAACTACTTGTATTGACTCGATAAGAGTTTAATCAAGTTCATGACCACGAGCTCAGTGGGTGTCTTTTCAATGGAAGATCCTTGACACCTAAAGCACCTAACTTCTTTTTAAGCGGGACAAAATGAAAAAAAACAAGTTCCTGTAAAAGACCGTGCCTGTTGCAGATATGAGCAGAATTAAGCTGCGAATAAGATGTCGGTTGTGCATCGGTAGCAGTATGAAAACTGCCACAAAAGTTTAAGATATCATAAAGTATCACTGCAAAGCAACTTACTCTGTTTCTAAAAGTAGAAGAGGTCGTCATGATGAGAAATTCGTTACTGATAGGATGATAACCCGATTAGTCGAACTGGAGCGCAGTGTTGGTCGACCAATTGCATGTTTTGTTCTCCGGCGAGCTTGACTCAAATTCTAGAGACATTTTGCCGCCTGCTTTTTTAACAGGCATTATTTTTCAAATATTTTTTTTTGCAGAATTTTCAACTTGAGCAGGAATTGGCCATATTAAAGGAGGAATCGTTGTCAGGAAAACGCTCCTCAGACAGACAAACAGCGAGCTTAGAAGGACAGGTACTTGTTTATGCTGCTTATACCACTCTTTTGACCTGTTTTTTTTATGTGCACTGTTTATGCAGGCATGCGAGTGTCTTGCATATGAATAGTTAGTCCAAGTATAGCTTTCAAGAACCTATAAAGTGCGGTTAGCTTTTTGTTTGCTTTATTGGAGGCAATTGAGACAGCTCTTTAGGTTTATTTTCCACAGTATTTCTATGTAGTGATTATCTCTCTCATCCAACCACATACACCCTGTCTTCTTTATAAGGTGATGCGTTTGGAGGCTGCTCGGGAAAAAGAAAAGAGTGAAATGCAAACAAAGCTGGTAAGAGCAGTAAGCGTTTGCCCCCGAAACAATTTTTTTTGATCATCATATTGAAAGTGAGTTATGTACAGGTCTTGAAATAACAAGAGGGAGAAACTCAGCCTCGTTTTAAACGTTATCAAAGTATTTTCTTGTAATTGCTTTCTGATAGGACCAGCTAAAAATGATCGAGAATGAGTATTCCAGACAGGAGGACGCGTATAAGCAACAAATAGCTGACTTGGAGGAGGAAAAAGAGCAGCTACAGGTGGGAATAGTGAAATGAGTAACTCCTGGCTAGAAACACACTCTGTTTAGGACCTTTTGAGATAAAAAAAATCTTAACTTTTTCGAGAATAGGTAGGAAGTTAACAGAATCAAGGGGTGAAGTATTAAAGTGTTGGATCGTGCTCAGACCGCAGATATGGAGAGCACAATAATCGGGAACTGAGTTCAGTGGAGGGGTCATGTGATATGGGCGGGCTGTTGAAGTGACATTCTATGGAGAACTGGCACAAGGTGCAGGAAGAGTCGGTCATCCATTTTTAAGATTCAAGGAACTTTTATGGAGATCCTGAATTCGAACTGTTGGGTTGTATCATCGGATGTCTCAGTTTGCAAATATTATGATGACAGACGGAATGAGAGCACAGAGAAAAAGGCAAAGCGTCCCGAGAAGTTTGGGGGAAAAACGATTCTAGTCTTTTTATCAAATTATCATCTGTTTGTGTAATTTCCGCATCGGGTTATGGGCTTGAATAGAGAACAGATTTAGTTTCCAGGCAGTACAGTCAGTCTCGTGTATAGATTCGATACAAAATGAAGTTCATTAAGTCAATAGATATTGATGTTTCTCAACAGAACGAACTTCTGTCCAAGGCAGAGGAGAACAGGCAAGTTTCGCTGTGCTTGGAGGACGCTATGAGGGAAACAAATGAGCTCAAAAGCCAGGTTAGCCAATCTCTGTTCAATAAATCTGCCTGAAATCACAAAGACACGAAATTGAAAAATCGCAGCACAGTGTGCATACTTATACATGTTAGTAATGTGGTGGGAGTGAAACTAATGAAGATAGAATGATTACTTTGATAAAGTTCTAGAGCTGAATTCTGAAATCGTTTTGTGAAAGGCAGCTCTAACTGTACATATAGCCCTAAATTTTTGCAAAGCTCCCGGATAAGGGCTAGAGTTTAAGATTTGTACAATCAGTGAATGTAAACTTAAAAAGTCAGGTCTTACCAATATAAAAGTTACCAAATCTAAACCTCTTTGACTTGCACAGTGTTCAAGTTTCTTGTTCATGTATAGCACTTACATTGGGGAGGTAATCACTAATTAAATAAAATAAAATAAAAATCTTTATTAGCAGCTGTCAGCTAAGTTCCATGATGAAATGCAAGTTTAAATGTACATGGAAGTTGAAATGAATCTAGATTTAAATTTCTCTGGTCTTTAAGGCACTTCAAAGTCTTAAATGACTTAACTAATAATCTGTTTTACGTTTCAACTGAATTAACTCAAGAACTTGCACTTAATTTGCCATGCTTTCAGATTGCTAAATTTGAGGAGACACTAAAGGAGAAAAATAATCTGTTAACTTGTTTTAAAGAGAGTAAGGTGAGAAAGCAACGATTTTAAACGAGGGAGGAGACCTGGAAATGTTTTTTTTCCAAATATTGTGGAACAAGGTGCATCGCGACAGAGAATGCTTCCACAATCCTTGTTCTGCTCCCAAAATTCTTTTTCTATCCTTGCTTCTATCCATTGAGTTAAGCTTCCCAATGAAACATTAGCGCAATAAAATGAGCTATCCTTACGGCAGACATTCTTTCGATTCTTTCTCTAGACTGATTTCGTTTGTATACCGGTATATCACGTAAATGTCAGCGTAGCTTTAACTTTTAGCTCCTATGTCTCTTTTTAAACCTTCACTAGAGAGCACCCTTTACTTTGATAAATTAGAAAATGTAAGAAATATTCTCTCAATTTTATTTTATCTTTTGCTGCGTGTTGACGCACAATCCTCGGGAACTGCGTTAAACACTTTTCGTGTGCATGCAACTCTTTTAATTTTGTTATCTCTCTGGCGATTACAGCTTGATTCACCTTCTCATGTTGTGAGTAACCTCGGTCCTGAAGCACTCGAGAACCTCAAGGAAGAGCTGAATAACACAAAGGTACTACCTGGCTTCTTGTCACATTGCTGTACAAACGAGAGATGTGTGACACGGTGATGAATAATTCTAGGTTTAAACGTTCGCCACGGCAGAGGACGTTTTACTAGTTATCTCCCTTAAGCTCATTTGAACTTCTCCTCCTCATTGGTGCTCTACGGGGTTTAACTGACTTTTTAGTGACATTTGAATTAACCTGCCATGGAGTAGCGTCCCATCCGTGGGGAAGCACACTTCATCTAGTCGCTTTATGTACCACTGACACAAGAATAAGTTAGGGTAGAATGAAGTACTCAGCTTTTGGTCACAATACAACCTTACCTACCAACAGCAGTCATTAGGATACCTAAACACGCTATAACGTTCAGTTAAACATATCTTATCAATGCAATTTCTGTATACACATCACTAGGATGTGCAATTTATATTGACCATTCTGAATTTCAGAATTTGTTTGTATTATTAACCAGTTTTAATTCTGTTCTCAAGGATCGTTACCAGAATGCAGAAGAAGTTTTAAAACAGAGGTATTATTTTAAGTATATTTTTATTATTATATTTTGATTAACGAGACGTCTGTTAGGTAACCCGGAGGAGTTGGTAACATGATACTCGACCCTGATTGGCTTGTTTCGGCGTTCAGACTTTATCATCTAGATTTTGGGTGCTTAGTTTTCGTTACAAACAGCAGTCATCGAGAAAAACCGTTTTCACCCTCTTTCGTATATATATGACTACCTTCCTTTGGTCTTTTTCTTCTTTTTTCTTCTTCAACACAGAGAAAAGACTATATCTGAGCTACGAAAAGCTGTTGCTGAGAAGGAGGAGTTACTAAATCGTTCAACCACAAAGGTAACAAAAGTGACCATCAAGTCATGCGATTTAAAAAGGATGTCAGATGTCAGTCGTAAAAAGTAGTCGCCGCTTTCCTCCAAGGAAACATTTCGTGCAAATGCTGGGTCAGCCACTGCAATAAGTCAAATCAAATCAACGAAACTGCTGCTATGGAGAACACGAGCATTGTGCAAATAAAACATCTACCATATGCAACATAATATTTGCGTCAGGGTAATTTTCAGTAGAATATCGAAAGGATCTTGGAATTTTTTCTATTTTGCTTTATTTCGCTTAGTGATTGGTCCGGAAAATTGGCGCCATTCTTTTTTCCAATCGCATGCATTACTAAATTAATCGTGACGTGGCCCCTTGTGTCTCCCTTGACTCGAGCAGTTTGCCTGTCTTTCTCTTAAGCTTTCATTGGCCAGTGTTGATTTTAACCTTCACTCTGTTTGGCCGTTGTGATTATTTTGGTTTCCTTTCTTTCGACACTCTACTAAAAAACTGTTCAAACAGTTTACTAGATCTCGATCACAACTGCATCCTTCTCTTATTCTGCACCAGTTTCGGTCCTCAAACAACAGTTTAAATGTTATTGATAGCAAATTTAATTCATTATATCTTGTGATTTGTCTTTAGATAAGGCAATATGAAGAAAATAACAGATATATAGGAAATGACAGAATTTATAGTCCGGAGAGCAGAGGTGAGTGAGCAGTTTGGTTGTCCTAGTCATTGGTCATACACCTGTAGTTTTTGCTTTTGTCATTCGGTAGTTTTCATTTGTTCAGTTCAACTGAAATGTCCGTGGCGCTGTTTGCATACGGGTGTGCAGTGCATGTTTTCTGTGCGGGGCTTAAAAGAAATTGAGCTGTAATTTGTAATCATATGTGCCAGTTGTCCATCCCAACACGTATATGTATGTTTACAGTCAGGGTAGTAGAAAAAGATGATCACCAATATTGGAGAGATTTTTCAATTATGTTAGGGGCAATTCGGCATTAAATTACTTTTGCTGTATTCGCTCTGTGATTGGTTTAGAAAACCATGCCTTTCTCCCAAAACAATCACGTGCAAGGCCTAACACAAATGACGATTGGGTCACCCGCGTTTTGCCGCCCCTCAGGCGGTTTTTTCGTTTTTCCTCTGATTTCTCGTCGATTTATCTTTGGTATTTTCCTTGGCCTAATTGGCCGTCGTTATTACTTTGATTTTGGTTTACGAGTTGAACTTGCGTTATAAATACACTCGGTCATATGTACAACAACCAGCATTGTCCTTTTATTTTCCAACCTCATTCCCGTTTGATTCGAAATTTACACGTGTATTAAGATAGTGGTGGAAATCATGATGACATCTTGTTTCTCTCACCGTTAAAGATTCACACAAGTTAATTACAAATTTAAGAGAAAGAGTCAAGGAACTGGAAGAGCAGCTTCAAGAAAGAGAGGTAGGCGATTAGGATTAAGAGAACTCCATATTCTTATCGATGAGTCAGTGCTTTTTAGTGGCGTTTTGTTTTGGTTAGCACAGCCCAATCATGATAAATCTTCATTTGTTCACTTTCCAGTGTTCACTTTCAGGATTTGTGTCAAGAAGTTTTTAGCTCGCCATAGATGAGCAGAAGAAAGTGTTATTTTTTGTGGAATGAATGAATTCACTACGTAGATTAAGAAGTAATGTGTTATTTATTAGACGATGGTTACAACTTTCATTTTTTCTTTCTTTCCAGATGCTTCTTTTGGATGAAAACGAGGTATGCTTCACTCGATTTTTCTTATTTTTCTTATTGTTTATTGTTCCATGCTTAGTGTTTGCTTTGTACATTTATCGTTTAATATTTGAAGTTTTTTTACGACTCCAGTTACGTGACCTCAGAAAAGATAACAATCGACTTGAAAAAGACCTGGAGGACAAGGACAAGGTAACCATGACGATATATTGGAACGCAAGGTGATGGGGGTGGGGTGGGAGTTGGGGCCTGAGGCCGATATCGAGTCGGGACACTCATTACTTCGTCCTCTTCCTGCCGCGAAAGAAATTCTGATAATTAGAAATTTTCTGAAATAAGTAAATCTCGCGAAAGGGGTTTGCCTTTTTTTTATTGTCGTTCGTTTTTTAGTGCATCCATAATTTGTTTGCTCTGTCATTCTACGATCACCGCACCAAAATGACCCTGACCTTGAACAGAAAACAAATAAAAGCTGTGCAGTAGTAATTCATATTAGACATGTAAAAGCAGCACGTTGACATTCATGGAAAATACAGTATGGTACCGGAAGAAATATAAAACTTTATTATCTAATTTTGCATCAATTTTATACTTTATTTTGTTCGTTTGAATAGTTATAATAATAGCATTACAAAAAAAGTTACTTACCACGAGACATTTGAACAAGAAACTTTGCACAATCTTGAGTTTTCGTGAGTGTGATAATGCTAATATTTGGCCACTTATAATTAAGTGAGTGGTCCCAATTGATGGCATTTAAACTGTCAATTACTCCATTCTAAAAATCATGATAGAAAAAAAGAAAACGCTACAGAATCTGCTTTGCTAACAATATTCTCTACTGTCTGATCTCGTGTCCCTTTGTGCTGAGTTTACTGTTTAGTTCAAAATAGTTGTTCATTTGAATGCAAATTTTACTACTATTGTATTGACGTTAGCTACTTTTTGCACCTCAACCTTTTATTGCGTTTTAAGTTTTACAATACCCGGTAAATGAATGGTAAGCACAACTCTTAAGCCATACACGAAAACGCTGCAGACTTATTTTTCAATACGTACTAACTGTTACGAAGTTTCACTAATACTTTTCGTTGAGCGCGCTGAATAAGCCATGTTTTTGTTCCCGTTTTGTCTTACCTTGCGTTTTACAGTAGCGATTTCTCTGTCTCCACAGAAAATAAAACTTCTACAGGCAAAAAATATAGAATTAAAGAAAGCATTCCAACGGGAGCTGGTAAGATTATTTGTTTTGGTAATTTTCTAACTGTGGCTGAAGTCAGCTCTATAAATTGAAAAAAGGAAAGAACCAAATAGACACAAATTCTCTGGCAACTAAATGTGCCTTTTTATATTTGTAAGAAAATGGCTGCTCCGGGGGGCGAACCTGTGCAGAGAAGTCCTGGAACTCCAAATGGTGACGTCATTGTACACAGCGATGAAGAAAAAGAAAGACAAGACTATCTTGAAGTTAATTTTAAGTATCCTTTGATTTTTAAAGTGTCGAGACAGATCTTACAAATTACGAGGCATACATTCCAATAAACCAGTCATCCATATGTCCCCCTGCTATCGTAGACAGTGGATAATTTGTTCAGTTAGTTAGGCGATTGAGCGGAAAGTTGCTTGATTAGATCCAGTCAATATGTTAATCTGGCAGACATTATGTTCAGTCAATCAGTCGGTCACCCTATCCGTTCGTTTGTTCATACTTCCTTCTGTCGGTCGCTCGTAAAATTGCGCGATCTGTCTTCGTTCGGTCGATCGCGATTGGTTTCCTTAAATGATCAGTTTCATTTTGGGGAACTTGTTTGAGGGAGTTTCTCTGGGATCTTCGTTACTATTGCATCATTATAGGTTGCTGTTGTGAACACATCACCTTAACTAAACGTTAGATATTTAAAACACGTAATTTTAAAATACATGTGTAGTACAAACAAGCAGGTAATCATTGTGTTTGTTTTTGACGAGCTGGTTAGGATCCGTGCTGGTGTGCAGCATTCTCGGAAAAGTCGTGTACATATTTTTCTCCGTTTCCCAATTTTTTTTTCCGAAGGGGTGGGGGAGTGCGACCTGACCGGTAGTAATCAGTTAAGAGTTACTTCTCAAACTGAATTCGACAAAAAAGTCGAGTTGTTTTTCCTCTTGTTTCTTCACAGTTTTTGTGGCGATAGATTTTAAAAATGTTAGTCGGTTCCATTACGCCTTTAGTTATTAACTGATCTAATTTCTTGCCTTTGTTACTTTTTCAGTCTCGTCAGCTAATCAACGTGATTGGTCACTTATTAAGATTTACCCCGAAAGAGCACGCATGCGTCAGGGAAGCTATGGAATGGAAGGTTTGTTTGAACATGGACTAAGCTTATTGTTATAGTAGGAGAAAAGTTCGTGAGTGCCCTTATCAGCTGCTCCTGCATCTTTCGTCGTCGTCGTTATTGTTTTTATAGCGGCGAACTTTGTTGTAGCTTGATTGGACTTATTACGCACAGCAACTTCCTTCCAAAGAAATACTTTAAATTTCGAGTCATGTGTTAAGCACAGCCACGTTTCTTTTGCGTATAGCATTGTATTCTGTGTGTAGACTTGCATCAATTAGCGGGGAGACTTCAATTCAAGTAAGATCCTACAAGTTTATACTATTATGACGAGTAATGCCTTTATTTTTGTTTTCTTTCAGTTGCCATTAGATTAGGATTTTTAGAAATGAATGTTGTTCGTTTTAGGTAAGTCTGAATGATAACGTAACCGTGTAGTATTTACTAAAGGATTTTTTTCCTTGCCTTAAGGTTGCTTTTCGTCAAAACTGAAATATTTGGGTGTTCTTCCGCCGTAATTTTCCTCAATAATTGTTCTTTACATTTTTTTTATTTGATAATTTACACAAAAAAGCCTCGTTGGTACAATTAAAAATCTTGTAGGTTAAATAATAAAAGCAACCTTATTAACCCAATATTCGTGAACCCAAGTTGTCAATGCGAGCTGCGTTATTGTCGTAATTCACGCATTTACTCTAATATACATTCGCTCTTCAGTGCTCAACTAACTTGCCATAAACATTTATGTTGCAGATTGCAGTTGTAATAAGGACGTAAAAAAAAGAAAAAAAATTCAGGGTTTATCCTCTATTTCACACGATACGTGGTGGCTGTGAAATTCTGTCTCATTGACCGATGCACCATTGATTTTCACCTTAAATACTTCAGTTAATCCCTTTTTTTTCCTAACCCACGACCGTCTCAATTTTCTTGTAAAATGCAAAGATATATTATAAACGCAGCAGAGTTAATATCAAAAGGATAAGGGAATTATGAAAAACTGAGCATAAAAATGTGACATCAATAAACAATTTTTCCCTGATAAGTTAGGAAACGAAATAATTTTTTGTAAAAGCGTTATCCGTTCCAAGAACTGAGAATGAAATTGGATTGGAAGCTAGAAAGAGCTCCTTATAAATATAGTTAACCGGACAATTACAGCTGAAAAAAATTGTGAGGGAAGGTGAAATATCCTCTGGGAAGTGTTTTTAATACAAGACGTCAAAATGAAATTTATGTAAGACGTGATGAAATCCATGGAAAGAGTATAATTTATTGAAATCATTGTTATTTATCAATCGAATGAATTATAACTTTGGCGGGTTGCACATTTTTAGACACAAGCTTGGAGTGTAATATATTATTTGTAGCAGAACAAAAACAATATTTGGGAAAACGTAAATAAATGCTGTCAGAAATGCAAAGTTTTTCATGGGGGAACTAGCCCTGTCTGTGTTTCACCCTCAGAAACAGAGTGTGAAGATTGTTCAAACGATGGTAAATAGTCTTCCCTTCTTCCCCTCCACGCGAAAAAGAAAAATTGGCCACAGCAATTGTAGCTGCAGATGTAAAGTCGTAGCTGATTCAGTTCTAGGGCTGCAATTTCAAAGCTTCTAGAAACTATCTAATAAGCTACTGCTGCAAGACAAGATGCCCTATAGCGCGACCGGTTTGAGTGATAATTTTTCTTTTATGTGTTATTCAATTTTAAACCAAACTCCTTGTAAAACGCTGTATCAAGCAGTTTTTCGACATATTCTTATGTGCAATGCAGTACCTTGACATTAATTTTTTCAATCTCTAACCACTTCTCCAAAATCTAATTGATGCGTACAAATATTACACTCTGTGCACTTCCTACAAAGTAAGAGGCTTTTGGGTAAATTTCAAGATAAATGACATTGACATAAACATTGGTTAAGGGTAGTACAACTTGTAGTGTCAATATAATAATTACTATATAGGCCGATTAAAGTTTGATCTATCACTCTTAAACTTTTTTATACATGAAACTTTCCGTTTCAAATTTTTACATTGTACTAGAATTTCTGTAGGTTTAGACTACACTTAGGGTTCTGAAATAATGGTTAAAATGAAGTTTTGCAATGTTCACGAATCACTTGACTTTCACGACACACTATATCAAATTAATGATGCGGGAATAGCTTTCGTTTTGACTGAAAATATTGTGCCCTTAGCATGGGATTTCTGTGGAGCGTTTTTCTTTTCTTTTTATCCGTAGTCCTTTCAAGCGACAAAACAAGTGCAAAACTGTCCTAACGTTTCCTTGACGGCTCTTTGAATTTCTTTGATCTTCCAACAGTAAAGAATGGGATTTAGCAAGGAATTAAGGTTGACTAAAACAACCGCGATGACGTGTGCCACAAATAGTGTTAAGTTTAATCCACGAATAAGCGCTATGACTGAAAGTAATGTAAAAGGAAGATAGCATGACATTAGCGTTAAGTGAACCCACAGCGAATTGATGACTGTCTTTTTGTACCGCGCCATCGTCAGCTTGGCACCTGCTCCTGGGCACCCATGATCTTGCACGGCTATTCGCCGACATCGAAAATAGTGAAAGATTCTTGTGTAAGAGTAAGTCGAGATTGTTATCTTCAACATGATCATTACACCGCTCGCAATTCCGTATGCCCTTATGCTCCAGAACCAAGCGGCTCCCACCAAAGGGCTTTGGACCCACAGTAAAAAGACGACAATACGAACTCGCTTTATGGTGACAACTTGTCTATATCGTATTCCTAACAAGAGAGCCATGAGTCGATCCACAGAAATGGCGGTTATCGTCGACAAAGATACACCGGAGAAAATTGTACTTAACAGAAATGCTACGTATTCCAGCAGTCGACATTCTTCAAAGGTGCTTTTGCTTATTCCTGTCTGAGTCATAGCAATCATTACTGATTGTGAAATAAAGCCAGCGCAAAGGTCAGTGATTGTGAGATTAAAAAGCAACAGTTTGGATGGAGGATTAAGACTGTTTTCTCTGCGAAGTGCGACCAGGATCAAAATGTTTGCCAGAGTAGTCGCTACAGAAAGAAAACCATACATGACCGTAGAAAATATTGCCAAGGCAGGGAGATGATATTTGTTGCCATGAGGCCCGTTGCAAAACATCGATCGGTTTGTCAATTCGAGGAAATTCATAATTTCTTCTCAACAGTACTAGTCAAGGCAAAGGTCGGATGTTTTCAGAAAGTGATGTTTAAGCTCAACGAGAAAAGTGATGTCTTTGTTTCTTCAGTTCTCCAACATTACAATCACTCCAAGTATTGTCACTTTATAGAGAGTTCTTTGGTGAGGTTATTTTCATTTAAATGCGCTATCAAATGGAACAGTTTCAATTAATTTCAGTTTCTAACAAAAGTCCACGGAAGAGGTTAAGACAACTGAAAGGTGCTTAGCTTAAGGACCTGGTGATAGGACAATGGTACTTCGCGAAGTAACACTTTCCTAAATTAAAATTGTACGAAATGGTACTTTGTGAAATGACACTTTACGAAATGGTACATTGCGAGATTGCAATTTGCGATTTGACACTTTGGGAAATGGTATTTTGTGAATTAGTTTATTACGCAACAATTGGTTCATACGTCAGCGTGCGTTCATCGAGATATGAAGCACGCGGGAAGTTTGGAGAGCACGAAAGATGCTTAAGAGTTGCTTAGGGGGTAGCCGAGAGCAACTCTAGCTTCTTGAGTGCTCTCCAAACTTCCCAAGTGCTTCATATTTCGATGAACGCACAGCTGACGTATGAACCAATTGTTTTATAACATTTTCAACCCGATGGAAAATTTGTTTTTCTGGAAGGATTTGTTTGCTGACGTCATGAGCGTGCAAAATAGGAATATGAAGCACGCTCGCGCAACTGAATTTGATTACACAAATTTACTAGCTATGTTATAATCGTACTTTGCGCCGTTGTACTTTTACGAAATCTTAATTTGCGAAATGGTCAAAATGTGATCAAAACATGATACGTGTACTTTCAACTAGTGTTTTTTCATATGAGCGAATGTTACCAGTGGTCAAACAATTGAACAACAGTAAAGAATTGGATTTAGAAGGGAATTAAAGTTTTTTTTTTTTTTTTTTTAAGGTTAATCCACGAATAAGCATTAAAGCTGTTATTGGTGTAAAAGGAAAATAGCATGCTACTTATATTATGTGAACCCTAAAAGAAAAACTCTTCGTATCGTTCCATTGATAAGTTGTCTATATCATTCTAACAACGCCATTCGTTTGAATAATCAAACTCAAAAGGAATAGTTAATCATCATATTAAATTTCCGAAACAGTGGTGGCCCTTCTTTTTTCACATATTGACCCAGTTGATGGCAATTTTCTGACAAGTGCCTCATTCTAAAAGAAAAACCTACCGCATCTCTTTTGAAGAAATTTCTTCTGTCCGAATGTCTTCATCGTTGTGAAAATTCATCTTTTTCGGAATGGTGTGGAAAATAATTTGGTGCGAAATGGTATTTTAGAAAGAGTTACGAGGGAAATGGTACTTTAGGAAATGATGCTTTAAGAAATGGTACTTTGGGAAATATACTTTAGGAAATGGTATTGAAGGAGATGGTACTTTAGGAAATGATAGTTTGCGAAATAATAAGGTGCCGGAGAAGTTTCAATCGAGATATTCCTAAAGCCCTCTTACAATAACAATAGAGGAAATCTTAACTTGATAATGATTAAGTCTCGGACACGACCACCTGAATGAAGTCATGGGAAAGAATCATTTATATTGCTGGTAATTTGTGATACCTACGACGTAAAGCAAACTTGAGAACCGATAACATTTTTTTCAGTGCGAGATCACTTTGAGAAATCAGATAGACCTTCACTTGCAGCCCTTTCTCCTACCCATTTAAAGCGGCTTGATCACCCTCGCTGTGACTCGCACCTGAGCGGAGAATTACTGTAGTTTGGAAAGGAGACCGGCGTTATTGCGCACAGCGATGAAGAAAGGGGAAGACAAGGCTATGTTGAGGTTGTAAGCATCGTTTGATGCTAACTGTATGTACACGGATATGTCAATCGACGGGGCATCCATCGCTATAAGCTACTGTTAATCTTTGATCTCTCATACATTTTATTGAACTACTTGGTTCTTTGTGATTCATATTTCATTAAATTTTAGAAAACAAAAATATTAAATTTTAGAATGTGTCTTCAGTCTTGTGCTGTTTCCATGTTTTTCCACATAAATAACCGATTAGTTTTTTTTTTCATTTATTCTCAGGGTAAAATTAAATGCATCTTTGAAGTCTAGAAATTCCAATTGTGGAACTGGGTTTCATGTATTAATAATCAACATTAGCTGCATACATTTCATTGATTTTCTCACAGTTCTATTCATTACAGTAATCATTAGCTAAGGAGTAACAGCACTTTCAGCCTTACTGTGTTCCTCGAAACACTTATCGCAAAGAAATATTTCTGATATTTACATATATCCTTTTAACAGATTGAGAAACATTCAAATGTTTACATCCTTTTTCAGGGATTATTTTAAGTAGTAACCGCGCTCTCGTTCTGCGATAGGTGTAGTTATATGAAATTATGCGCTACAGCTTTGCTTAACTCTCTCGGATTCTCCTAAAAACCTTTGTGTTTAGGTGAGGCTATGTAAACAGGGAAAAAAATCCACTATTACTTAAGTATGTGAAATAGAATATAAACTGATTATATCAAGTTCTCTTGATATTTATCAATTCTAGACAACGCCCAAATTCTACACTTTGCAACAATAGCACATATTTGTATCTAATAACAATAATTGTGAAAAATTGAGTTGTGCACCGTTTGCGAATCACTTTATTTTCAAGATTAGTAATGCTGGATGAGCTTTCCTTTCGACTTTGGATTCTTGCCCCGCTAATCAAGGGGTCACCGCAGTCCCTTTAAGCAAAAAAAAAAAAAAAGTGGAAAACTGTCCTATCATGCATTTACATTACCGTTCTTCGAACTTCTTTGATCTTCCAGCGGTAAATAATTGGATTTAGCAGTTAATTTAGATTGACTGAAGCAACCGCGGAGGCGAGTGCTACAAGAAGAAATAAATTTAACCCAAGAATAAGAATTAAAGCAGTTACTTCTGCAATAGGAACATAGCATGTTACTAACGTTCAGTGAACCCACATTGAATTTATAATCGACTTGTTGTATTAGGAGGAAAGTTCGTGAGTGCCCTTACCAGCTGCTCCTGCAACTTTCGTCGTCGTCGTCGTCGTCAGTGTTTTTACAGCGGCGAACGTTGTTGTAGCTTGATTGGACTTATTACGCACAGCAACTTCCTTACAAAGAAATACTTTAAATTTCGAGTCATGTGTTAAGCACAGCTACGTTTCTTCTGCGTACAGCATTGTATTCTGTGTGTAGACTTGCATCAGTTAGCGAGGAGACTTCAGTTCAAGTAAGATCCTACAAGTTTTTTACTATTATGACAAGTAATGCCTTTATTTTTGTTTTCTTTCAGTTGCCATTAGATTAGGATTTTTAGAAATGAATGTTGTTCGTTTTAGGTAAGTCTGAATGATAACGTAACCGTGTAGTATTTAGTAAAGGACTTTTTTCCTTGCCTTAAGGTTGCTTTTCGTCAAAACTGAAATATTTGGGTGTTCTTCCGCCGTAATTTTCCTCAATAATTGTTATTTACATTTTTTATTTGATAATTTACACAACAAAGCCTCGTTGGTACAACTAAAAGATCTTGTAGGTTAAATAATAAAAGCAACCTTATTAACCCAATATTCGTGAACCCAAGTCGTCAATGCGAGCTGCGTTATTGTCGTAATTCACGCATTTACTCTAATATACATTCGCTCTTCAGTGCTCAACTAACTTGACTAAAAAGAAAATAAATTCAGGGTTTATCCTCTAATTCACACGATACGTGGTGGCTGTGAAATTTTGTCTCATTGACCGATGCACCATTGATTTTCACCTTAAATACTTCAGTTCATCCTTTTTTTTCCCTAACCCACGACCGTCTCAATTTTCTTGTAAAATGTAAAGATATATTATAAACGCAGCAGAGTTAATATTCAAAAGGATAAGGGAATTATGAAAAACTGAGCATAAAAATGTGACATCAATAAACAATTTTTCCGAAATAATTTTTTGTAAAACTATTTCGTTTCCTGACTTTTCAGAGAAAAATTGCGTTATCCGTTCCCAAGAACTGAGAATGAAATTGGATTGGAAGCTAGAAAGAGCTCCTTATAAATATAGTTAACCCGACAATTACAGCTGAAAATATTGTGAGGGAAGGTGAAATATCTTCTGGGAAGTGTTTTTGATACAAGACGTCAAAATGAAATTTATGTAAGACGTGATGAAATCCATGGAAAGAGTATGATTTATTGAAATCATTGTTATTTATCAATCGAATGAATTATAACTTTGGCGGGTTGCACATTTTTAGACACAAGCTTGGAGTGTAATATATTATATATAACAGAACAAAAACAATATTTGGGAAAACGTAAATAAATGCTGTCAGAAATGCAAAGTTTTTCATGGGGGAACTAGCCCTGTCTGTGTTTCACCCTCAGAAACAGAGTGAGAAGATTGTTCAAACGATGGCAAATAGTCTTCCCTTCTTCCCCTCCACGCGAAAAAGAAAAATTGGCCACAGCAATTGTAGCTGCAGATGTAAAGTCGTAGCTGATTCAGTGCTAGGGCTGCAATTTCAAAGCTTCTAGAAACTATCTAATAAGCTACTGCTGCAAGACAAGATACCCTATTGCGCGACCGATTTGAGTGATACTTTTTCTTTTATGTGTTATTCAATTTTAAACCAAACTCCTTGCAATACGCTGTATCAAGCACTTTTTCGACATATACTTATGTGCAATGCAGTACCTTGACATTAATTTTTTCAATCTCTGACCACTTCTCCAAAATTTAATTGACGCGTACAAATAATACACTCTGAGTACTTCCTGCATAGTAAGAGGCTTTTGGGTAAATTTCAAAATAAATGACATCGACATAAACATTGGTTAAGGGTAGTACAACTTGTAGTGGCAATGTAATAATTACTATATAGGCCGATTAAAGTTTGATCCATCACCCTTACACTTTTTTATACATGAAACTTTCCGTTTCAAATTTTTACATTGTACTAGATTTTCTGTAGT